CATCTCCCCTGCCTTCATTAGATTTATTTCATTTTCTGGAACATTGCACAGTCCTGCTCCCACTGAAGCTTCTTCCATTCTTGCTCGTCTGCCTTCTATAGATGTTCATAATGTCCATTTGGCAGCCATGGGGGCTAGAAGGGATGAGCAGCAAGCTGGGAGTAAGACAAGTGGTCCAACTCAAATCCCTCTTCAATACCTGAAGGATATTTCTGAGTAGCAGTGAAGTTTCTCTGGAACTGTAGAGATTCAATTGTCCTTGCATCAGGCTTTCATTGGGGATTTAAGAATAGCTTACAAGTAGTCCTTGCTTAATGATTGATCATTTTATAATGCTTTAGAGCAGGAGTCTTCAAATTTGGCCCTTTTATGACTTGTGGACTTCATTTCCCAGAATTCCTCAGCTAGGCACATTGGCTGAGGAATTCTAGGAGTTGAAGTCCACAAGTCATAAAAGGGCCAAGTTTGAAGACCCCTGCTTTAGTGGTACAATAGTCACGGAACTGGTACTTTACTGCCCATAAAGCACCACTGGCCATCGTAAATGGTTACCCTGTTTCCCCCCCACCCATGGTTGGGCAGGTCAACTGGTTGTGGCATTCTGTTTTGCACGGTCACAATTCACAATGGGGGTTTTTATGCCAGTTTCCGGCCTTTTTTTTGTTGATTTCACACACAAAAAAGGCCAATCAAATGAATGGGCTTGCTAAATAACAACCACCACTTTCAGACAGGGATGTTGAGTTACAAATCTGTGCACAAACAATTCTTCCCTCTAAAATCTGGCCTGGTTTAGCTAGCAAGGATAGGAACAAGAAAAAACAGAGAGAAACCCAATGCTTGAAATGCTAGGTTGCTCAGCTCTTACCACTGAGGATGTTTTATTTATGCAGATGAAATTCATAATCAATGGAAAAACACAGAGGTTTTTGAAAAGCTTCCATCCTTTACCCATCTAATTAGTTTTATTTTGTAAAAAATATAAAATGGAAGCCATCAAAGGATCTTCCTAGAGAACAAAAAATGAAAGGAATAATTGGGTGCGAATGATTAATAAACATGAACTTACAGCCTTGATAATTACTTTCTAAAGGCAGACCAGATATTTCCCATAATTTCTTTAGAGGTTTTATCTGATTTAAATTTATATATTGTTCAGGACATATAAATACTGCACCTATCTACAGTATACATTTTATAACTAATATTTAATTTTACACATTTCAGTTCATATTCCTGATTCTGTACAGAAGTGCAATTTTTAACGTTGACGATCCATTGCTTGCTGTAATTTGGGCTGCTGAGATGTACATCCATTTGACTATTATGCTAAAATGGGGGAAAATTAATATTAAACAACTCCTATATTCAAGAATCGTCCCAAAGCATTTATTCCCCCCCCCCATGCATTAAAGTATTCTATTTAGTAAAATCACTTTTTTTCCCAAATTTCATGGACATACAGTAGGTCACCTCTGAATGTTGTAACAAGTTGCCCTTCTCTGTGTTAAATGAACTATTTTCTGAGGTGAAATCTGCAATATTTATTAATTTAAACTATCTGGTCCATCATTAATTCACCCAAGGTTAAGGAAGAACATATACTATATTCTATAGAAATCATACTACAGCATTTTATAGCAGGTGCTTATTATGCTTCCATATAAGTTGTGCAATCTTAATCTAGCAAAATATTTATTTAAGAGTAAGCATCTCATTATCTCTGCTCTCATTATACTTTCTAATGTCTCTTTATTAAGATACAGATTTCATTGTATTTAAAGTGCAGTACCCATATTTCTTATTTTTCAATTTTTTTTCAAAGCCCATCATCCAAAGGCTGGGCTATCTATGAATACATCTTGGTTCAAACCCAATGTTTGCATTTAGCACCAAGACCGAGAGGCATTAAAACCAATATCCTATTTCTTCATCAATTCTATGTTCAGCAGCCTATTTTTCAAGGAAAAAAAAACTACTTCTGCTGCTACTGTCCAATACCTAGGACCATAATATTATTACCAATTTACTACAAATTGCTGAAAGAGTTTTCATTGATTCCTGCTTAGCATGACGTTTCACCTTAAAAGTGAAGAATAGGCATTATCCCACAAAAGCCATTCTAACATTATACAGCATCACTAAGCTACTGCTCTGCCAATATGAAATCTGCCTTTATTAGTGATACATTGCCACAGCAGTGGCTGGATGATGTCCTTACTTGTACACTAGTAAGTTATAAGGTCTTATAACTGCTACTCTACAAGTAGCAAAGAATTTGTCTCTGTCCATGTGCTTCTGACTAACATTATTAGGACTGAGCCTGAGAGAAGACAAATCACCCATCTATGTTTAATCTACATGAGCAAATGAAAACATCTCCAGCAGGCACTCATAACACTAGTCTCTCAGGAAATGTTTTTCCCAGGAATCATTCAGTAGAAATGAGAGAGTCAGTTTGGTGTAGTAGCTAAGGTACTGGCCTAGAACTCTAACCAGGAGACCGTGAGTTCTGGTATGACTGTGTGACCTTGGGCCAGTCACTCTCTCCCAGCCCAACCCACCTCAGAGGATTGTTACGGAAGAAATAGGAGGATTATTAGGTATGTTTGCTGCCTTGAATTACTTATAAAGTTAATAAAGGTTGAAATTATTTTTAAAAAATCAAATAAATATAGTTCAGTTGGCAGAGAATCCAGAGATGGTCCTTTGATGAAGATATGGAGACATGATCACCGTACATGGTCACTATATATAAAGATATGTAATCCTTATGATATTCTTGTAGCTTTTGAAGGGATTTAAAGGTGGAACACCACATTTTAAATAGATGTGGGAAATGAACTAGGGCCAGTATGAAGATATAAGCATTAATCCCTAGATCATTGTTGGGATCTGCTTTTTCTCCCCATATCCTCTTATCCATCACGTGGAGCTCATATTTGAGTTAACATTTTTTAATACAGTACTGCATATATATGCATGTTTGTTTGTGAATATGTATGGTAAGGAGGTGGTAGAACCAGCTATGCTTATGTGTTGCATTTGTAATACTGGAATCATCCAAACAGAAGGAAATTATTTTAAACATATCTTCCTCACTCCTTGATTAGCATGAATGATGAAGTTGTCTTGAATCTCTAAAGTGTATGCTATAATGCAATGTTTTAGCCTTAGAGAGGCTCCACGATTTGAGCAAGGAAGAAAGAACTTAACTGTCCAATGATAGACACATTCAAACATACAATCTTATGGTTTTTTGTTATTGCAAGATCAGGCTGCCTAATAACACAGCAGCAAAAGGGCAAGAGAGCAAAAATGCCCTATACTTCTTGCCTTGGTAAGCTATGATTCTCTGCAGCTTTATCTGTGGGGATGTGCTATGGCAGAGGTCCCCCCCTTTTGGGCATCAGAGACTGGTTATGTGGAGAGAGGTTTTTCCTCAGACCGGAGAGTGCATGGTTTTGTGTGTTGCCTGCATCCCGCGGATGGGGCTTTGCTTGTTGATGTAGACTGGTTGCTGGCATGCCACGGTCCATACCGGTCCATGGACTGGGAGTTGGGGACCCCTGTGCTATGGTATATCTATATTCTCTCATGTCTCTTTGTGACTTTCAGTTGGAAGGTATAAGACAACAATTATTGAACCAAAGTAATTCAAATGAGCTAATTTACAGAAATCCAGCACCCATGACTCACTTACGAATGAAGTTTGGGAAAGTTGTCATCTCAGGGCCACCACGCCTTCTGACCACACTTCCCAGAAACCCATGGGCTGCATGTTGCAAGATAGGATGGGAGGACTGTATCTTTACCTTTTTTCCCACCTCCCTCTCCCCTCTGCATCCAATCAGCTGGTGGATAGGCAAATGGCAGTTGGCTGCCTTGGAACCGAGGTTGACAATTGAAATAACAATGTTGGAGATAAAGTAAGGAGGTGAAGTAAGGATGAGAGAAAGACTCAGAAGCTCTGGGGAGCGCCAGAGGTTGATGGGTGAGCCCTTCCTCCTTAAAGAGAGGGGGCCCTTATGGACATGCTGGGACGGAGAGTGGGGGTACAATTTTCCTCACAATTTCACTGGTCACCTGAAGAAGAATGATTTCCAAACTCCCTGCCAGATTCCCACAAGTAATATCAATGGGGAATCAAGCAGGAAGTTGGAAGTCACTCCTGCTCCCAATCCTTTTTTGCCCACCCATCCTCATTCTCTTTCTCTGTTTAAGTAAGGGAATGTGTGTCTCTGAAAGGATCATCCTAGAGGCATTAGCTGTTTAATATGAAGTAAGACTGACCTCTAGTGAAAATATCCAGCACTTCAACTCATTTGTTTTCTTTCTTCACCTGACAATAACTTTTGTTATTTTTTTTAAAAAAGCTCCTTAGTTTTGGGCCCTCAGATTTCATACTGAGGTCTCCTCGCAATGAAGGAAAATGGCATTCACAGGGATCTGCTTTTGTGGATCAACTTCTATTACAGACGGTGCACAAAGTGTGATCATCTGTTAATATGAAAAAAATGTAGTAACTGTTGGATCTTTCCACAACACAAACTGTCTGTGGATTGTGCCAAAAAGGATGATTATAACAAGCAACTTTGTAAAAAGGGGCTGGTTAGAAACAAAGGAAGCTGCTTTGGATCCCTAATCTGTTTAGCAAAACATTATCTGCACTGCAATGTCAAGAACTGAATCTGGGATCAATTCCTGGTTTTGCAACAGAGATAAAATATGTACCCTTCCTTTCTAATCCTTCCCTAAATAACTTGATTAAAAGACTGATGTTTCTGTGATAGAAACATGAGCCGCAGCTTCTATTTGGCTAACCCAAAAAGTGCCACTATAAATATGGAGAAGTACGTGACCATACATTTGCTGTAAAAAGGAACAAAATTCCCTGCTGATAATATCATATGCCGTATTGTGATGTCATGAGATGATCATATTTATCTTACTGTAGACCTCCTATTATGACATCACACACTGGAGGTCAGGCAGTTAATCTTCACACATCACAGAAGTGCATCGGAAAGACAGAATGGATGCTATTTTGATGCATGTGGAAAGCAGGGTGCTTTTTTGTGCATGTAACTTTTTGGTATAAGTTAGAAGAAGGAAACCAAAACAATTCTTCTGAAATACGTCCAATTATCACACTGTTCTTTCAGTGATGGATGGGAAACGCTCTGTGCGAAGATGTCCTGCTCAAGCACCACCAGATTTTCAAGATAACTCTAATGAGCAAGGTAGTAGTACCAGGGGAACAAGAGGATCAGGCAAGACCCAGACAAACAGGTAAGAGGGATGCATGCATTTATATTTAGCTATTGCAACATAACAAATGTATCTGTGAAAAAGAATCTAGGAGAGTCGTCTTCAAATTAATGCTCTTGTTTTCAGGCCTCAATCCCCAGCACCACCAACCTCTCTCTCAATTTTCAAGTCAGCTACAATTGTACAGTATAGCTTCCTATACTGTAGGAGAAGACATTATGAATGATTACATGATTGCACATGTGCTGCTGCAATTCATTAATTGCTTGTAAATGATTCTCTAATTGCATCACTGGGTTTCCAAGTGTGTTCCTTTAAATCCTGAATTTTTCCAGTCATATCCAGAAATCAGTTGCTGAGGAGGACAATAACCGAAGATAAGCTGCCAAAAGGCCTGGGTGCCAGTATCTGTTTTCCACTGTGGCATACAACAATAAGGAAGTTTTCAATGCACTTTAGGATTCATATTTAGTTTGTCATAGTTTGGCATCTGGGCCAAATTAGTAATTAGCAAAGTATAAGTGGTTTTTTTTTAAAAAAAAAACCAGACTCCTCAATCTTCTGCAATGAGCCATTGGACAATGACTCAGTTAGCAAACAGTGGTGAAGAGGATTTCCTAGGAATAATATATTCAAAAGAATGTAGGAATAGCAGATGCCATAACATTATTTGCATAAGATAAAAATGACCTATGAAAAGGTACCCCATGCCATATATTGAAATATACCTTAATATAATAAAACTGTAAACATTCAAAAGAAGAACATTGGAGATTGGAAATGGCCACAGAAATCAAGCAATAAAACAATAGACTGTGTGATGAACATGGAATTTGGCATTTCTTAAAAATCTTAAAAGTTGATCTAGGAACTTTGACTGATGGGATCCAGGAGAAGAGCCTTCTCTGCTGTAGCGCCAACCTTCTGGAACATTCTGCCCCTTCCCCCCCCCCAGGGTGAGGTTTGTCCCCATCCTTCTGTCCTTCTACAAGAGCCTGGAGACTTGGCTCTTGACTTGGGCCTAGGGACCCAATAAGGAAGTACATCACTGGAGGTGTTTGCTAGACTAACTTGCTGGCCCCACCTTCCCTCTGTGCTTCCTGCTTTCCCTCTGCTCATCTTTTTAATTTCATATTACATGTTACTATACTTCCACTGTTTATTGTTTCATTCCCTTACTATTGTAATTTTTAGATTTTTAATGATTTTCCCCATTTTAATATTGTGAGCCACCAAGAGTACTCCACAGTGACATGGGCAGCAAATACAAACAAAACAAATGTTTATTCATAGTATGTAACATACCGGCCTTTCTGCAAGAAATTCAAAGCAGTGTAGATGATATTGAGAAACTGGAATGAAGAGTTATCTGGATATGAAGAGGGAAAAGTGACTTAGGGTATGTGTACCATCTAATGGCACAACCTTAAATCAAGTTAATTGTAATAACATATTGTTAAAGTATTGTTAACAGAGGGCTTTGAAGTTTAACTTTGCTGTTCGTTAACTTTGTCAAGCACCTGGGAAATCAGGAGATTCAGGCAGTTCAAATGAGTATAAACGAGTAAAAAGATTTATTGCAAGCGTAAACTCTTTACAAGAATCTGGCCAACTGACCATTACGGGAAATGCGTGGGAGATAAGAGAGGAATTTGAGGTGAGTTGCACTTAGATCTCTTGTGGATGCTCAGTGACTCATGACTTATGATGTGTTTGGCTCCTCCCTCAGCCTCAGCCTGGTCATCTCCTACGTATTGTTAACTATTTTTACTTCTTACGTATAATGTATGACAGGTCAAATTGGGTTGCAAATAGATGTAGAAGTTTATAAATCTAGAACCTGTTTTGCAAGGGGGAAAACTATGGCTGCAATATATTTGTCAGTGCTTAATAGGAGGGATATGTGTTTTTCTTTTTTGTCATTTTAACTCACATCTTTTTTAAAATGTTTTTATCCATTTGTTTTGTTTTTGTTATTTTTCCCACCTTTGTATTTTGCATTTTAATTTTTTGAATAAAATAAAAAAAATATTGGAAAAAAGTATAATCTTAATGTACACATCTCCCCTAATAGTCCAGATACTGTGCTAACGTGAACACAAATGAACAATGAAAACAATACAATGAAACTTTGGGAAAGATGGATTTATTGTAACAACGGGGTTAAAAGATTTTTCACACCTCCCTTGAACTCTGTCTGCACCTGCTCAAGATAGGTACATCATGTTTGGGAAACCATAGGCTAGAAACAACATTTAGGAATAGCAAATACTGTAGTATTTTAATATGCCTTGTTGCCACAATGGATGGGACTAAGGACACTAAGCAACATCATTCTTGGGATAATGTATTGTATTTCAGGCAGCCTCCAAATTACAGCTATAAAGTATGAATAAAGTTTTATTCAGGAGCCGTAGTGGCACAGTGGTTAGAATGCAGTATTGCAGGCAAACTCACTGCTCACTGCCAGAAGTTTGATCCTGACCGGTTCAAGGTTAGCTCAGCTTTCCATCCTTCTGAGGCCAGTAAAATGAGGACCCAGATTGTTGGGGGCAATATGCTGACTCTGTAAACTGCTCAGAGAGGGCTGTAAAGCACTGTGAAGCAGTACATAAGTATAAGTGCTATTGCTAAATGCTAAAGGGTTGATATTTTTACCGGTGATTACAAATGGTGCCCCAACATAACATGTACCTTTGTAAAGCATCGGAGATCATTTGTAACTCTTCTTCTTTCAGCTGGTACCTGCTTAATTCTTCAGGAGGTGATCCCAGGACATCAGCTACCTCATCTAGCCAGATGTCTTCAATTTACGATCAGGGAGAAGAAAATGGGCGTAAGTGCCAGAAGCATTTAGGCTTTGAATACCCACTAATGACTAGAGGCGAGAGATTTAAAAAGAAAAACAGAAAAAAATATGTCAGGATTGCATCGAGAATCATTTTGACAGTTTAGATCTATACAGTATATGTTGTTCGTCCATTGATTTTGATGAAGACCTTGACATCTTGTGGGTTATGGGCCATCAACGATGTGTCCGTAGGTGGCTAATAAGACCGATGTTAGCACAAAATGTTCTGCCACATACTGAACACAGAAATGTAGGCACTACGTATACAGTATATACAAATCCATTAAAGAGTTAAGATTTTCAGTATGGGCCTGACAATGCATAATTTTGCTATTCCCCTTATATCTTCTCTCTAGCAACCGATCTATTCAAGAGGGCCTAGACCAGCAGTTCTCAACCTGTGGGTCGGGACCCCATTTGGGGTCGAACGACCATTTCACGGGGGTCGCCAAACAACGCAGTCTGCCATTTTCCCCCCCTTTTCCTTAGCTGTGCTACTCCCTGTTATTCTATTGGCTTTTGAAAGCCAATAGAATAGACTCTCTTGAATAGAGTCTAATTCTATTGGCTTTCAAAAGCCAATAGGAATTGTCCAGGCTGTCTCTGCCCTGCTGAGCCCTCCAAAAGTCCCATTCTGCAAACGGTGCTGCACCAGTTGAGTAGTCCTCGACTTACGACTGGTTGAGTAGTCCTCGACGTACGACCGGTTGGGGGTCGTGGCATTAAAAAGGTTGAGAACCACTGGCCTAGACATAAGAATAGAAACTAAAGGAAACTACTGTGCAGATTGTAGAAATATATATTGATTCAGTTGGAAGTCAGAGCAGCTGCTGCCAATCCAATCTGTAATCATTGATATAGATCAGGGGTGTCAAACTGCCGACCCACAGGCCGGATGCATCATAGCGAAACTACACCCACCCCATTGCCAGCAATGGGAAAAAAAGTCACGATACGTCGCAACACATCACGTGACATTGCAAGTTTGACACCCCTGATATAGATGATAGTAATGACTGGATAATAAGATGATTTTTCTTTAGCAGGAGGTTTTACCAGAGAAGTCATTGCCGGTGAGAGTTGCTATAGCCACTTCTCATCTAATTCTACAGCTTCATCTGAAAGGAGTACGCTGAGTATGTATCTAGCAGTTCCACTTTCCTCTGCAAGCGTTCCTAAAAATATGATGCATTTGACAACTAAAGTTATCCAAGCAGAAGCTAGACAGCCTTACAATCAGAGATGGAAATTAGTCTTCCAAGACACCTTCCAACTTTAGAATATCATGATGGGCCAAATATTATTATATCTTTGAGAGAGAGGTGGAATAATATTTAAGTAGATTGACAAATATAAACTCTTCTGGAGTTTTTTTCTTATCCACTTGATACAAGATGGTAGCAAGATATTTTACCTTGTAGTACAGAATGTTACATACTCATCCAAACCTATAGTAAGCTGTAAATGCAGGAATGACAGACTTGAGGCTACCCCCATCTATCTTTCCCATCTACTGTATGTTTTCCTACATGTAGAAAGGGACAGTGTGTCTCAGAAAATTTCCATTTCTAAGTCTGCCCATTGGACATGGTAATTTTCTGACTTAGTGTGAAAGTCTTAAAATATATTATTAAGATGCCATTTTTTTAAAGAGTAGGATTTCATTTCAGGAATTCTACCAACAGTTTTGGTGGACATTTAAAATTAAATTCCCTTATGATACAGTCCAGAAAAAAAATAATCTTAAAAAATCTAACTGAAATAAACATTTAATTCTAAAAGTTCCTTTGATTTTAGTAAGATTTAAGAAGACCTAATCTCCACTGGGTTGCACCTAAGGTCAGTAGTGGTTGGCTATATCCAGATATCCAGATATTCAGATTAACCCATAATTCTGCAAATCAGTAATTTGGAGATCCTTATTTGTTAAAATGGGATGCAAAACTAGATCTCATCGCGACCTAACATTTTGTTTTGGGTTTTAATGTTGACTAGATCCCACCACTTACTAAAATAGGATTTGATCCTATATCTCATGGTGAATGAGGATGACATGATGAATCATATACAGCAATAGCATACATGGTGCATACAAGAAATAATATTAACTGGTATATTTGCTAAGAGTTTGTACTGTGAATTTACCAGTGTTATTTAATGTTTTTTTCTAGGAAGGTATTAATTATCTTCGTACTTACAGTCCTCAGCAGATCAGATGAACAAAAAAGTATATTCCCAATTACTTTATGAACCAACTGCTTAAATGTTTTGTGAATTGTTCTGTTTCACAGAAACCATATGCTGCATTCCCAGCCTTATTGTATATTCTATTTTCTGCTTTCTTCGAAAACTTTTACAATCCTGCTGCTGTGCAAGGTAAGTAACAATGTAAAAATGTTCAAAAGCTCCTTTGGAAAGAAATCAAAATCAAGACAGCTAACTTTGCATCTGATAGTCTCCATTACAGAAGATCTGCCTTGGGTGGGGTAGAGGTTGGAAATATCAAATATTTGATCTGTTTTGACATGGAAAATTTTAAATAGGCTAAAGCAGAGATCCCCAACTCTTGTGGAAAATGAAAGGACTCTTATGAATTCCAGAGGGTTTTAGCAGAGAGATTTATTGCGCAGGTTCAGAAGCAATAGCAACAAGCAATTCTGAACCCCGAGGGTGGGTTCAGACTTCAGTTTTATACTTTCTTTTTCTCAGGAACAAAGGAATACACATTGAAATACACGTTGTAATACATTAGGTTCATTTCTCAGGGGTATACGATGGAGAGTTTGCTACATACATTGTATCCAAGTGCAATGCACATTAGGTTAGTCACATACTACTAACACAGCACTATTCCAGTAATTATGCAGACACATCATTATTCTAGTGATTGTTCATTATTCCACATTGCAACCTTTTGGGCACCAGGGACCGGTTCAGTGGAGAGTGGTTTTTCTGCATACCAGAGGGGGCATGGTTTTGTGTGCTGCTTGCATCCTGCGGATGGCCTTTGCTTGTTTGTGCAGACCGGTTGCTGGCATGCCACTGCCCGGTATTGGTCCATGGACCAGGGGTTGGGGATCCCTGGGCTAAAGAGCTGTTACCCTCACACGTTTCTTATTTTAATTGTCTTAATACACTTTCCGTACTTTAAATATTAAAATAAAATTACTTGTTTATAAATCCATGTTATACAGTATATTATAATAATGTATTGTTTTTAAGTTTATGAAATGTCCCACTATTTTATTGCATTTTAATGAAGCATTTTATGCATTTAATTACCCTGCAATTAACTTTCTCCCTTCCTTGACTCTAAAAGTAACAGATTCTGCAACGTCTCCTTTACAGTTCCTCTCTCCCTGATCCTAAGTCCCTCCCTCTAAATTCAATTCTACTTCTCTCTGATTCTCCAAATCTCAAATCTCCTCCAGCCAGCTTACTGGGTAATTTCTCTGGTGGTGAAAGTTATCAGTCTTGTTCTACCCACATTGGCTGAGATACCCTCTGACGTCTTGAAACCTTTGGATGGCTTCAAACTCTCGCCTCCATTACCTGTAGGAGGAAAGATGAGGCTTGTGTTATCTCTTCCTTTACGGTTTATTCACAAGTAGTCTTTCTGCTGATCCTCCTGCTGGTTTTCAACCACTCTTCTTTTTCTTTCCCTCTCTCTTCTGCTTTTCCATGTCTCAAATGTGTGACCTTAACATGCTTCTGAGCTCATTCTGTGCCTAGCCATAATTCTGGTTTATTTCCCCTTCCTCTCCCCGATCTTGTTAGGAGCTGGTTAAAGTATAATCCCAGAGGCAGGAGGTCTAGAAGAGCAAACTCTTCTACATCCTGTGATTTAGCTTAACATTTCAACTTTTTCCTAGTTCACACCAATTTTATTGCAATCCCATGGATTTCATTTACTCTGCCTGGACAAAGAACGGTAATACCTCTGGAAGCTACCAAGCCTAAGCAGAAAAGACTTATGGTAGATGCAGAGCAAAATCAACAGTAAAAAGGGAGAAATAAAATTGGGGTCAACTCCTCGCATCATGCTACTACTCAGGTCTGTTACCGAGCAGAATCTTGGTACCAAAGCTAAATAATGAGGTCTAATTGCTGAGGCTTAATTCACAGTCATTTATTCATTACACTTTTCAAGAAACAACTGTGATATTCACATTTGCTGCAGCTTTTATGTCTAGAAAGGGGAAGATGCTATTGGCCCTAGAAAGCAATGTGTTTGTAATACGAAGTTTTGAGGTGGACTAAGGACTCTAGTTTCTCTGAGAATTTTTTTTAACTCTGAACATAGAGATGGATAGGCCATTTGCAGTGTAAAGTGCTATGGATATCTACAGCAAGAATGTGTCAGGAGTTGGAAGGGATCTAGGAGGTCTTCTAGTCCAATCTCTTGCTCCTACACCATTTCAGAGAAATGGCTGTCCAGTCTCTTCTTAAAAGCCTGTAGCGATGAGGCCACAAAACCTCTGAAGGCAAGCCATTCCACTGGTTGATTGTTCTCATCATTAGGAAATTTCTCCTAGGTTCTAGGTTTGCATAAAAGATATGCCTTACACATCAAGATATCTGATTTTAGATTGAATAATGACCCAATAATTCAAAATCTGTATGCATCCGGAGCAGACCATGATGATATACAAAGGACAAAATATGTGTCATGAAGCAAACCTTGGCCTTTCATACTCCCCAATATCACAGGATAGTACAAAAGTCATGTGGCTTGCATGATGATACATATTTCGTCATTTGCCCTCCACCTATCAAGATGGCTGCCTCTTTCTATATAATTTTGGATTGCTCTCATTCGGCGAAGATATGTGGAGGGCAGAGGGAATGTCCTTGAAAGATAGGAAAAGAGTCACTATGAAAGCAATAGTTAGGTAAACAGGCTTGAGCCCAGGTCAAGAAAATAATGTGAGAATACATCTCAGGGAGGTCCCTTCCCAGGTCACAAGAAGACAAAATGAAGGAGGAGGGAAGCATGTTGACTTACAAGATTCTGTTAGTATAGCTTCACAATAAAATATCCAAATTTATATGGCCTTGGTTTCTTAGTCTTGTCCACCATAAAAACTGACAATATTATGTCATATCAATCCATTCATTCTGTATGATGATCTTATTCTAACTTATTCCAGTAGCCTCTTCCCTTTGCTTAAGAAAGTAAGAACCAGCTAAGGTCAAGCAATGTAATAATCTGAGCATTGCCTAGAATTTGATGCTTAGGGGAAAAAATGACTTCTTTTACATGCAGGCAATTTGCACTTCCGTCTCTGCATGTCCAGTCTGGGAAAGACTCCTGTGTAAAATCTAATAATGCTGCTAACAACTTAAACAGTGCTGAACTGTTTGAACTCAATATATTCAACTTCCTAGGTGTTTGCTCCCTTTCTCATGCAAGAGCTAGTATAGCCATAATGCATGATGTGATACCATTGGCACAGGGGACTGAGGAAACACCCTGTTTGATGACATCACATCATGCATTGTTTTATGGCAGACATCAAGCAAGGAAGAGATGAGAGAGAAAAAGACATGAAGTAGCAGCAATCCTCAGAATGACTTGTTAATAAACCTCTCTGGTTAGGAAGGGAACCAATAATGCCCTGGGGTATCCTTCACTATTATCAAGATTCCTATTCTTTTCCTTTGCAATTTTTAAGAATTGTTCTGTCCATTGACTTTCATCTAATCATCCTGTCTTCCTCCTCAGAAACCAAAATCCTATGGCAGACTGTGTGAAATGCTTGACATTCCTCATCATAGCTGTCTCAGTCATTTATGGTAAGTATTGTTCCACTTAAGATTTGAGAAACATTTGAATAGCGGCAGGTTCTCATGAATCTAACATAAAAGGTGCTCATGTCAAGCATCTGTCAGAAGTCCCAATGTGCCAGAGATAAAGGCATCCTTTATCCCAGGGGTCCTCAACCTTGGCAATTTCAAGACTTGTGGACTTCAACTCCCAGTTGCCAAGGTTGAGGACCCCTGCTTAATCCAAAAAAGTTCATGTTCTAACCCAAGTCACATGGGCAAGGCAGAATTCAAGAGGGACCATTTATTGCTCACTTATCACAGTGACAAACAACCCAGGATGGTGCCAATGAAGCTCTGCCCCAGCCCTCAGTTTTCCCTCAGTCTGGATTCACAAACTAAGTCCCAGCTGACCCATGAGGCAAGAGGGAGGTAACAATACCAACAAGTCCAGAGTTCCAGCAATCAAAACACAGTCTAAGAGTCTGAAGTCTGAGAGTGAAGTCCAACTCCAAAGTTCAAGGAACAGGATCCAGGGAAGCCAGGAAGAAGCACATCAAAACGAAGAATTGTTCCCGGCAAACACATCTTCCTCAGCATCTGGTTAAATTACCCTTCCCAGCTTTCCTTGTGAGGAAGGTTGGGGCTGCTTCCTTGCAAGCAACCTCACTGACCTCCTCTGTGCCCCTCTCTGCTCTGTTCTCTGATCAGAGGGGGACGCAGGTGTTCCTCCTCAGAGATGATCTGGAGCCTGTCATCTCTGTTGACCCTCTATAGCAGCTCTTCTCCTGCAGGAGGTTCCCCATCAGGTTGCCCCCGTTCACCTGCCAGACGGCCCTGGAGCTGCCTTGTCCTCAGCTTCTAGACTCTCCACTCATTTGGAGAAGACTGTGTCCTCCCTGTTGGATGGTCCTGGCTCCAACTTCTCCTCCTCCAAACCAGGATCCAACAAAGTCATGAGACACCTGCAGATTCTTGCAGGACAAATACGCATGAAAATGCACAGCAGAAGTATCCAACCTGCATGCAAGGGCGCTTTATTGTACAACCTATGCCTACTCACCCTTTTCTCAGCAGATACAAATTTTTCTCCTATTGCTGAAAGAGATTCTGTAATTTTGGTAGGTGGTTGAAGAAGTTGGGAGTTTGAATGGCAAGTATTGGTAGGAAGAAGTGAATTTTTAAATGCTCCTTCAGGCAGTGGGAGATGGCTATGTGTGGTGATATCTTTCTTATATTCACTTCTATATTACTCTGTGTTTATAAAACTAGTCTTCCAAGCTTTTCAATTTTTCAAAATGGAAGAGAGAAAGTGTCCAGTAAAGTTGCTAAGTAGGACTAATTTACTTCTTGAAGAGTTTTGAGAAAAGAGAACAGAGACTTCTTTCCTAATACTCTTCTAGTATGTTGCATGTCTGCAACCCTGCCAGAGGCACAAAAGTATAGATAGTCCTCCACTTACCACCACAGTTGAGCCCAAAATATATGTTGTTAAGTGAAATTTGTTAAGTGAGTTTTGTCCCACTTTATGACCTTTCTTGCTACAGTTAAGTGAATCATTGCACTTAAGTTACTAACACAGTTGTTAAGTGGCTTCCCCATTGATTTTGCTTGTCAGAAGGTCACAAAAGCTGTTCCCTACATGATCCTGTGACACTGCAGCCATCATAAATATGAATCAGTTGCCAAGTGTCTGAATTTTGATCATGTGACCAGGGGAATGCTGCAACAGTCATAAGCCACTTTTTTTTTAGTGCTGTTGTAACCTTGAATGGTTATTAAATGAACTGCTAAGTCGAGAACTACCTGTACTAAGAAAGGTGCATGGACATATCCATGGTTAATATCCACTAAACATAACTCAAAGGAGATTCCAGTAGAGAAAATTTCCCTGAATATGGTCTCCAATACAAGTCCTAAAACTTGGAAAAGTAAACCTCTGGACCCAGTGACTGATCTAGATTGGATCAAAGGAGATTTTATATTTACTAAACTAGATTCGAGGCTGAGCTGAGAGTTGTTCTGTAATAAATCCCAATTAAAAAACTCTAGGTGAGAGTCATGTAATTTCAAATTGGACTTGCAATGTGAAAAAGTGAGTCTATGAATCTGCACTTGGGTAATTCCCTCTGTGTGAAATAACCAGGCTGACTCTGTGCAACTTTAACAATTTCTTGGACATGAAACTTCAAGTTAAAAGGCAATTATAGAGTTAATTGTACAAACATTTCCCATTTTTGCTTATTTCTTACAGGTACCGTTTACTGCATTTGTCAATATCTGCAATTATCAGATGGCCTATCATCAAAGGTAAATACAATTCCACATAATAGACAGAAATGGAAGTAATCAAAATGGTTTTGGGCCAGACTGGGCAACTCATGGAGAATTTGGGAAGCATGCAGTGGGCCTCAAAACAAAATGACTGCCAAACATAAAGAGCCTTTCCTTAGTAGTGATTCTCAATGGAAACAAGCCCTTGTTGAATAATGAGGCCATTATAATGGAGGTGCTGTTCACATTTGCTTTCTTGGATTTTGCGGCTGCCAGAGATGTTGTATCTGGAAGACAGCAAGTGAATTTGTGTATATATTGGACTGGGGACAATATTAGTCTGGCATCATGGATATGACAGTTAAAACCTGGATTTCCTTTTTTTTAAAAAAATAAAAGAATGGCTCAGGTAGCAATGCTGGCTCCTCTACTTTAGCATTCTCCAATAACAGGTAATCCTTGTTTAGTGACTGCAATTGGCAAACTACAAGTTGGTTGTTCAGCAAGGCTGCCACTAAGTGAAAAAAATCACATGACCAGAATTCTGCTTATTATTTTACTTCAGCTTTACCTTGCTTTACAGCATGGGTGTCAAACTCGCCGTGTCACATGACGTGTTGTGACGTATATTGACTTTTTTTCCATTGCTGGAGCTGGGGTGGGTGCGGCCTCTATATGATGCAACCGGCCCATGGGCCGGCAGTTTGACACACCTGCTTTACAGCATCCGAAGGATACAACCCCAAACAGCTGTGTGAGCCCAAATAGTGTGGAAGGAGTTGGGAACTCAATTTATGAAAAAACTGGGGGAAAGGCCAAATCATATACCTCTTTTCCCCTATTCCCCACCATTTGAAATGCTCATCCTGGCACTGGAATAATTAGAAAGAAGGGAATTAATACTTGTATTTACATTCATTGGACAGTGAGCAGGCACACAATGAGGAATACACATTGAAAGGAGTGTAGCTGCTAGCTTCTTAGGAAGCATGTGCCTTCAGGGTGAAACTAATTAGGATTTTGTCAGTTGAGGTAGCAGCTGCCAGCAGGCTGTAACCAACTAATTAGGGTTACACAGCTAAGCTTGTTAAGTTGTTCTCAGCAGTTTTGGAGAAAGCACTGCTACACAAACAAAAAGTTCAGGCAGTGACAGCTTGCTTGAGTTTGGTATAGAGATTAAAGTGCTGGTTTAGAAACCAGGAGACTGTGAGTTCTAGTCCTGCCTTAACCATGAAAGCCAGCTGGGCGACCTTGGGCCAGTCACCTTCTTTCAGCCTAATTCACTTCACAAGGTTGTCATTGTGGAAAAAATAAAAGGAAGAAGGTGCGTTGGATATGTTTATCTCAATGGGTTATTTGTTAAATAATAATGAAAAATGGGATACAAACAAGCAAACACAAATAAAAATCTCTTGGCTCCATGAGGGGGTATGGGATAAGCAAAAGGCAGTGTGAACATGTAACCAAATGATGTTGCAAAGATAAATATGGGTACTGGTCCCAAAGTTACTTTTTCATTGTCATTGTGATTGTAAATTGTCACTATCTGAGGCAATCACTTAATGAAGAAAGACTATCTGTAGTAAGTATGATAAGATTGTAATCTGCTACATACTTCTGGCTGAATAATTATGGAATTGAAGTTAAGTATATATTTTTTCTAAAATGGTCATAGATTATGGTTAATTATGGTGGGGTCTGCATGTTATAAATTGTTTGATTGTTTATATTAAAGTTGAATCATGTGTTTGTTTTCCTTCCAATAGGAACTTACAAAAGTGTATGAAACTGAGCTGAATGAACTCTGGTAAGGCTATTCCATATCCCTCCAAAATATCTTAAAGAAAAAGACTTTACTCATTAATTAAATTTATAAGATGCTTCAATCTATCATGACTCTGGGCAGTTTTCAAAATACAATAGTAAAAACAAGAATGTATCTAAGCTTTAAAAAAAAAAAAAAAGTCTGGAGATCCTCATCCAATAAACCAAAACCCCACAACGAGGTCTCTTCCCCCTTCAAACCTAAGATATGGGGGGGGAAAGTCATGGTTTATGGTTTGTATAAATAAGGTCAGGATGGGAGCTGTACCAATCTCAGTGGGAATGTGGCTTATTTAAATGCAGCAGCATCCAGCCAGGCTTAGACAAGCAGGAGCCATCCAGGACAGGCCTGTCCAACCTTGGCAACTTTCAGACTTCAACTCCCAGAATTCCACAGTCAGCCATGCCCTGGTCTAAGAGGGTTAAAACAGTAGGTTGACCAATCCCATCCTTGGTTTGAATGAATTCTTATCCCTTGCTGGAGACTTTGGAGGAAGTCTTAAGGTTGAAAGACGTCTCTGAACAACTATGCATTTGCTTTTGGTTAGAGATCGCAGTACACAATTCTTTTGTCCCTGGGATAAAATAGTTAAGCTGCAATCCTATGTCTCTTTCTTTGGAAGAGTAAGTTCCACTGAGTTCAATAAGATGAATTCCTGAGTACGTATGTTTAAGGTGTGGGGTTCAGGCATGCTTAATATACACTTTCCTGAACCTAGCATTCTTCAGATTCAGGAAAAATGTCTTAATGTCCTGGCTTATGTACCCACAATAATAGGCTGGTGCATTGCAGGCCCAGGAATGGTCTGGCAAACAGTTATGATTACAGGCAGTCCTCAACCTACGACCACAATTGAACCCAAAATTGTTGTTGTTAAGTGAGACATTTGTTAAGTGAATTTTGCCCCATTTTATGATTATCTTGCTATACTTGCTCAGTAAAACACTGCAGTTTGTTAAGTTAGTAACTCAGTTGTTAAGTGAATCTGGCTTCCCTACTGACTATGCTTGTCAAAATGTCGCAAAAAGGGGATCACAGAACATTGGGACACTGCAACTGCCATAAATATGAGTCAGTTGCCAAGCATCAGAATTTTGATCACGTGACCATGGGAATGCGGCAATGGTTGTAAGTGTGAGAAATGGTCATAAGTCACTTTTTTCAATGCTGTTGTAACTTCAAACCGTCACTAAATGAACCTGTACTTACATTAGTCTGCTGCAAAGATCTGGGCAACACTAGATGGCAGTAACAGTAGTATGGTTTATATCCTTTGCTGCTATTTAAAAAATTTTCAGAGTTTTGCAGCCTGGATATAATCCTGACAATCAGTTTTTCCCCCTTTATTCCAAGGAAATCACAACATCTGCTTGAAGAACAATTCCATGAAATTCAGGGTCTTAAAAAAGAGATGGATCACATGCATTCTGAGATCGGCAGCATCAGGAAAGGCATCTTACAGTCCACAAAGCAAATCCTTGAGGAAAGTGACTTTCCAGGAGACAAGAAAGTAGGAAGCTGAAACTAATCTCAGAAATTCTCTGGTCTTCTATCTTTCCAGTTTATCGTTTTCCTTTTCACATCTCTTGCTACCGTAGAATGTCATTTTTTTTTTCTTTTATGAAACTAAAGTCTGTTAGGCTTGTTCTCATGCCCAGCCTCCAGAGTACCAAATATGCTTAAAAATACAGCAGGGAAAACATTAAACCACAGGGAGGCTCTCTTGCTTTCCTGCTGCAAAGGGTATGTTATAATTTCATACTGGGCACTAATATCCCAAACTACATCCAGTTTTGGTCACCACAATATGAGCAAGATGTTGAGAAACAGTACATAGAAAAGCAACAAGGCTGATTGGGGGACTGGAGACTAAAACATACAGAGAATGCTTACAAGAATTGGCTATATGTAATCTAATGAAAAGAAGGACTAGGGGTGCCATGATAGCACTATTTCAATATTTGAGGGGCTGCCACAAAGATGAGGGGGTCAACCTACTTTCCAAAGTATCACAAGGCAAAGCAAGAAACAATGGATGGAAACTAATCGAGGGAAGAAGCAACCTAGAACCTAGGAGAAATTTCCTAACGGTGAGAACAATCAACCAGTGGAATGGCTTGCCTTCATCTCTTTTAAGAAGAGACTGAACAGCCATTTCTCTGAAATGATATAGGGTCTCCTGCTTGAGAGGAGGTTGGACTAGAAGACCTCCAAGGTCCCTTCCAACTCTGTTATTCTATCTTATTCTAAATAGGCTTGTGTGGTGTACAGTTAGTTCTTTTATATGCTTAAATGTCTTTAGCAGGGACATAGTGTGCTCTGTATGGCGGCTGTTGTCTGCTTAGCTAAGGAAGTGCCAGGTGTTCAACAACATGAGGCAAATAGTAGGACTACTGGATCTGGGCTGGAAAGGTTTGGACAACCCCTAGATAGAGGTTTCTTACCACCCGTGACAGTGATACTCATAATAAAGGATGTTCTAGTATGTTTGAAGTCTTTATGGCCAAGACAAAGCAATTAGTGGTTTGGAAAGTTGGGTGGCATAGACATTTAATAATAAATAAAATAGTAAAATTATGGGATTACCAGTTAACAAAAAGTTCAGGGGAAATTTGTCGATCTCCAACCTGCTACGTGAGATAGTCTGGCTGGATTAATTGATGGTCCTATGAATTATTAAATCAATCACCTCTCCTTTCTACCCACTTTTCTTCAGACGTCCCAGCCTTCACATCTCCAAAAAATGTAGGCATTTCACGGAAATTTTTGCACTGGCGTAAAGTTTTGTCTTTTGACATTGGCCCCAAAGTGCCTTTGACTAGAGCTCTCAAAATGAAATGCTATCTTTCGGTGGCCTGAAAGATTTGAAGAGATCAACTGAGTCATTTCTTAGAGAAAGCAGGAAGGATATTTGAAGTAGAGCTCTCAGTTGTGCCCTAGGCTGGCTACAATGCATGCTTCATAACCATCATCTTTCCACATTCTTAAATCACATATAAAGGACATCTGAATAATCTAATAGAATCATGGTACACACTGTTTTAAGCACAAGCATCCATTCCTTCTTAGCTAAAATTTGCTATAAAAAAAATATGATTAGATACCAGTTAACTTTCCTTTACAGGGCTATTCATTTAGGCACATTTCTTTCCTATTTTTTCTCAGCAAACTCGAGGAACCAACCATTTCCTGAATTGGCAAATTTTGGCTTTTTGGACATGATGCTTCATTGTCCATATTCTCCAGACTGTTGCTAGCAGTTGGAACCAAGTCTATGGTGCTATTTATAATTTATGGTGTCTAATGTATGCAACTGACATTTGTATAAACCATTTACCTGATGAATTTTTCTTCTTCACAGGAAATGTTTGATATACTCCATTTGGCTTTTAAGAAGATTTTTGAAGACGACATACAGATGGCTGACTGGGCTCAAAAATCAATAGGTAATGTCCTGACAAGATGGAGTGGCTTTGGGTTTGCAACTCATGGCCAGGAGGGCCTTGGCATAACTGTGAGTTATGCGCCAGTTACACCCAGTCCTGGACCAACATGCCTGCTTTACCATCACCCATGCTGTAGTCACCTCCCATTTGGACTACTGTAATGTGCTCTACATGGGGATGCCCTTGAGAAGTTTCAGTTGATTCAAAATTCAGTGGCCCACATAGTTTTGCACAAGACAAGATTTGTGCATGTATCACCTCTTTTGAGGGAACTTATCAATCTTCTGGGTGCAACTAAAGTGCTGGAGATCATATTTAAATCCCTACAAGGAGAACCTCTCCTCAGTTACATTTTCCTGGCCCACCAGAAGGCAAATTATGTCATCAGTTCCATCTATTAGGGAGGTACATCTTGTGGGACCAAGGAGAAGGGCTTTCTTTAAGATTGGCCTCTACCTTTTTACTTTTTTTGGAAGGCTTGGTTTTGTCAGCAGGCCTGGGGACACCTGGTTGATATGGAGCCAACCAAGTGGCTAATGTGAGTTTGAGGTAAGGAGGGGGGGGGGTTTAATGGGTTTTTACACTGTGGTATTTTAATGTTGTAAGCCAAAGATCTCCAACCTTTTGGGCACTAGTTCCATGGAGAAAGGTTTTTCCACAGATCTGAGAGTGCATGGTTTTATGTGCTGCCTGCATCCCACGGATGGGGCTTTGCTTGTTTGTGCAGCCCGGTTGGTGGCATGCTGCAGCCCAATACCAGTCCACGGACCAAGGGTTGGGGACCCCTATTGTAAGCTGTCTGAAGTGACTGTAAATGTTGGGCAGCCATATAAATTTGTTTAATAAACAAACATATATATTGAAGGAAATATGGGCAAATAGACACATTGAGCAGACTGGTATGAGAATGAAATAGAACTGAATTGAAGTTTGGAAAAAAAAAAGTGACTTGAAATAATATCTGACAGATTTTCCTCTCTCTACACTAAACTTTCCAAAAGATGCTATTGGATAATTACATGTGAATGAATGTAATTTCTGATGAGAAGTTTCTTTATATTTTATTCTGTACTTATTCTAGCCTTTATAAAAATCTATCGTCTATCTATATGGAGACTACCTATGTGGGAACTGATATTGGGAAATTACATGTGAATGAATGTAATTTCTGATAAGAAATCTCTTTGCATTTTACTCTGTACTAATTCTAGTCTTTAAAAAAATCTGTCATCTAGCTTCATGAGAAAATACACCTATGTGCTCACTAGAAATGGAAAACGGCTGGAGGGTACATAATCATCTGTCTGTCTGTCTAGGAGCCACGATTGATAAAGACAGGACATCCAAGACTTACGATTTTTTGCACCAGGAATACTGTTGGTTTCCATTTATCTCCTCAGCCAACCCCCCTGAAACTATTTTACAGGTGCAGTATTGCTATTAAGTAATTAGTTCAGTGGAAGAGTACAATTTCTCAACTAGAAAAAAGTACTGTCCCTTGAGTCCAGCTTCTATCTCATAACTACATGTCATTATTTTCTTCTGGATGTTTTTTTTTTTAACTTTTCAATCTAGCCCTTGGATTTCTTAGAGATCTTGTATTCCAGATCGAAATGTTGATAAAATCCGACCTCATTTTAACTTTTTATGAAATCAGTAAAGGGAAACACAGTGTAGCTTCTTATGTTCTTATGCACATGTTTGTGTACGGCTAAACTTTTTCTGCAATTTCTCAAGGCTAATTTTCTTCTGACTTGAAAATATAACTGTTGCGTTTCCTTGCATTACACTAAGGCTGTGTTCACAAATTACAATAATATGATTTTGGTTGGTTTAGTACAGGCTGAGAGGGATGCCCAAAACTCTCCAGCTCAAAAATAGAATATTCCAAAGAAGTGCAAAATGTTCCCTTTCTCCTCTGAATGTTGTTTCTGAATGTATATCTGGAATTGTTTGTGAAGTTTTATGTTGCTGTCTTTAAAAATATTCTAAATGATGGTAAGAGCTGTGGTGGCGCAGTGGTTAGAAGGCAGTACTGCAGGCTAACTCTGCTCACTTCCAGGAGTTCGATCCTGACCAGTTTAAGGTTGATTCAGCCTTCCATCCTTCCGAGGTTGGTAAAATGAGGATCCAGATTGCTGGGGGCAATATGCTGATGTTGCAAACAGTGCAGAGAGTGCTGTAAAGCACTGTGGAGCGGTATATAAATTTAAGTACTATTGCTATTGCTATAGGGTGGACTGCTTCTCCTTATTTATGCTTTCTAGACATTGGGCAACAAAAGAAGAATTCTCTTCCATTTCTATAGAATTCTTCATTATTGGGCGTCAGAATGGAAGAAAATGGTTCCCTGAATATTTAGTTAGATCAGTGTTTCTCAACCTTGACAATTTTAAGGCATGTGGACTTCAACTCCCAGAATTCCACAGCCAGCATTGCTGGCTGTGGAATTCTGGGAGTTGAAGTCCACATGCCTTAAAATTGTCAAGGTTGAGAAACACTGAGTTAGATGCTGTTGAAGCATTGACTGCTGATGATAAATGCTTGGGAGCAAGCCATCTTTAGTAACAAATCTTCCAGGAATACTCCTGTAATGTGCTTAATCCCATCCATCCCCTTTATCTGTTCTTTTCACCTTCTACTTTCCTCAGCCATATGTAACCATTTTCCCAGTTCTTCATCTATTCCCTTCTTTTCTAGGGGGATGCAAATAAAAGTGTGTCTTTCTTGCCCACTCTCTTCTTCTCCTGAGTGAGATTAAAAGACAGACAGAGTGACAGAGAATGAGAAAGTGAGAATGCCTCATTCAAAAGGGAGGAATGGGATTGGAAAATTTATACTTTTGGGGATATTATTCTGGTTTAAATACAGAACACTATTTACCAAGTAATAGTTTACTTTGCTGGTATATCTGACCTCTTAATAAATCAAAGAAAACATAGCTAAGAGATCAGGAGCAATTTTGCCACACATGCACACTCCTGAAGAAACCCCAGTTGTTATTGTACTCACAGATAAAATCAACCTGCAGAACTTGAATTCAGACTGTGTCTGTTGAAGATTTTATTTATGTGAATTGCCGTCTGTTTGTAGCCGGATGTTAACCCTGGAAACTGCTGGGCGTTCTCAGGATCAGAGGGCCAAGCAGTAATTAAACTGCCTGAAAAAGTCCAACTCACAGCCGTTACAGTTCAACACATCTCGAAAGCAATAGCTTTTTCGGAAGGAATCACAAGCGCCTTAAAAGATTTCTTGGTTTATGTAAGTACAATACTGCTTTAACTTATCCTATATCTTTCTTCTAAGGTGCATTAAAAGAGCTCTGATTTAGGAAGCACTAAGGCTACTAAGCCCTTGATATTAATCTGATATATGATATGGAGCCACTCTGGCATAGTGGTTAAGGTGAAGGATTGGAAATCAGAGCTCCAAGTTCTAGTCGTCCCTTTTGCATAAAAGCCAGCTGAGTGACTTTAGGCCAGTCATTCTCTCTCAGGCCAATTCAAGTCTCAAGGTTCTTGGGGAAAAATAGGAGGTGGGAGCATTATCTACATGCCTTAAATTATAACAAATGAAAGTGGGATACAAATCTAATAAAAAAATTAATACATTAATTTTGGATATGCAAGCTGTTGTTCCCTTTGACAATCTCATTGTGAAGGGATTAGCATATGATACACTGCCAACTTCTCTAGAGTTTGGACTGGCAACCTATCAATAGAGGCTGGACAAACTAGTAATAGAGTCCAGATAATAATCGACTTAGATACTTTAATTTGGATATATATAGATATAGATATATAGATATATATATGTGTAGGTCTTTGGTTATTCAGGTTTTCTCCCACGTAAAATTGGAAGTGTCTTGGCGACGTTTCGACGAAGTCTCATTCGTCATCTTCAGGCTGGTGCTTTCGGCTTTGTGCTCCTAGAAGCACGAAGCCGAAAGCACCAGCCTGAAGATGACGAATGAGACTTCGTCAAAACGTCGCCAAGACACTTCCAATTTTACGTGGGAGAAAACCCGAATAACCAAAGACCTACATACAAACACCCGCAAAAACCTCAGAAAACATATATATATGTATATATATAAATAAAATGCGACCACCAGGAGAATATAGGTATAAAAATATACTTTACTAAAAATTGCTGAGCTTTTCTTGGGAGACTCCCAACATCATTAGGGCTAAGAAGCCAGTAAAACAATGATGACTTAAATGGGTTTGGCGGTTTTTAGTAAAGTATATTTTTATACCTATATTCTCCTGGTGGTCGCATTTTATTTGTACCATAAACATGCCCAGGAGTCGTATTTTTATGGATATCATGCTATATATATATATGTATGTAAGTAAGTATGTATGTATGTATGTATGTATGTATGTATGTATGTATGTATTTGCAGTAATGGGCTGCTAAATGGCCATTCCAATTGTAGGATTCTAAGACAAACAATAGTGTCTTCCCAACTCTTATCACCCTAAATAGTTTATTAATTTCTCTTATCCAATGGTATCGGTTCACTCTCCCTGGTCCATTTAATTCAGAAAATGACTAGCAGCTTCTTTGCTGCTTCCCATATGAATGCATTTAAAGATTGTCACTTTGCCTACTCCATCGGATAAGGTGACTATTGGGAAGACTTTCTGCCTTCACTACAACCTCTATACAACATAGTGATTTGGAATACAATATATGGGGGGAGAATGAAAGGGACAAGACTTTTGCCTGCTACTTCCAGCTTTTTCTGAGAATATCAATTTCCAGATCAGTGCACCAGAATTGCTGAAAATCAGCAGCATGAGTTTCTGAAATAAGCCCTAACATAGGTATCTTAATATCATGTTAAAACAAAGTCTCGAAAGCCCCTGGCAATAGTCAGGATGACTTATCATACCACTCCCTGTAGCTCTCTGCCCATTTCATATAAAATAATTCCCCTCACTATTAAAAGATTGCTTGCCTGCCTGTCAAGACTCAAGACTTTGTTTTATTTCTGCATTGACTTGACTTTATTGACCAAGAACTGTTTCTAGGTTGTCCTTCAGGGATGCTGCAGCATCCAACTCTTCTTTTTAATCTTCTAAGCTGATTCTCTCCCTTTAATTTTAGGGGCTAAATGATGAAACAAAAGAGGAGATCCTGCTGGGAACATTCATGTATGATACTGAGAAAGAATTAATTCAGACATTCCAACTGAAGGTAAAGTGCAATGAGAGAAGTGGGTAGAGGTAAAATTAAAAACAAGAGCCATGAGCTGTGTTAGGTTGAGTTGTTTTGAAAGAACCTCTTCAAGTTCTGCCCCATCTCCTAAAAGTCAGACAACCTTTAATTCAGTATTTTAAGGAGTGGATTAGCCCCTCCTGGGGGAATGTAGTTTTTATAATCTGTAGCAATTCACTATACTGATGGCAGCTAATGGGACATAGTTAAAAAAACAACACCACCAATCTCCTTTCTGATGAGTAACAATCCCAAAGCAGATATATCAGTGTGTGGGAAACAGGCCTGCAGAAATATAGGCTTTGCACTTTTCTGTTAAATTGATAGAGACATTCAATAAGATGATTTCATCTCTATTGCTTTTTATTGTTTGTTCTTTTACCTCATCTACATTTCAGAATGAACAGGAGAAGGCGTTCCAGTATGTAAAAATCAAAGTGCAGAGCAATTGGGGAAATCCGGAGTACACCTGTATTTATCGAGTCAGGGTGCATGGAAGGATGGCCAATATAAACCTTTTGGGCAAGCAAGTGGATGAAATCTCCCAAGATAAATAAAGAAAAACAGGAATATGAACATTTATACTGAGCAAGTGTGAAGAGCACATAGAATTTGCTCTAGCTTTTCCCAGGGGAGAATGGAAAAGAAAACATGAGGACATACTAATGATGTTCAGTTATTTGACTAACAGATTTCAATTTGATTTGAGTTGAAAATTCAGTTAGATTAACGCAAAGGCATGGAATTGTTAAACTAATCTGAGTTGCATGAATACTTTTGATTCTGTCCAATCTCTCAAAAAGATGAGATGACTGGAGGTGATCTCCCAATAAATATTTTGTCCAGATTATAACACAGAGACAAATGCACTGTGTGAAAAAAAGTCAGAGAACAAGAGAACCTCTGTTGAAATATGACCTTGAAATATATTCTGAGTTATCAGCTGGAGCTTAATTCTATAATGTTTCTCCTCTTTCTAATGGGCTTGATGGAAGGAAGAATACTTCTTTCATGACAGATGTTTAGCTGATCAGTGGTGTCTCCCAAATGGACATAACTAGCAACACAGTCCTATTTGTATCACTTGCAAGTAAAGTCCCAATGAACTAATCATGTGGCCTAGGTATGCTTTTTTTGGCCTGCCTGTGAAGGAGGAGAGATGGCGATTTCTTCCCTCAGCAGTTTATTGTTTCTCTATGTTCTGACCAGATAAATGGCATGATCTCATCACAGAAGAAGAGATGTCATTTCATCCTAGAGACAGATCATTGTTTTCTCAGAGTGTGACATTCCTTGTCATATAGCAGGGTGACAGCCAGGTCTGGTACCTAGGCTCGTGCCCTGGCACGCACAGATCTCACTGAAGCAAACCAAGAGGAAGAAGGGCATCAACATATACTACAGTGTGAAAAATAGCATACCAAGTTAAAATAGCTTGTACATCTACAAACAACCTGGCTCTTTTGATAGGTACATCAACTAGCATTAATGAGTGCACAAACTCCACCTTGATCTGCCAATAAAAGAGCTATGGGGTTCTGAATAACAATTTGAGACACCGAGGGTACTTCAGTTTGTAGTCTAATGGCATCAAGTGATGCTGAAATATTGAGAAAGGCAAATTCTAATTCAGCAAGTCTGGCAGAAACCAAGGAGCACAGAATGTAAGGAATACAAGAAGCTGATGATAATCAACATGTGACTGGGGGCGCCCCATCATCTGCCAATGTATTCCCCATTGTCTTTAAGCCCAAGATGAGCGGCCCATTTAATTAATTTGCTGACCAAACATCATCTTGCTGGCTTCTGTAAAATTATTATAAAATATCAAGAGAACTAGAAGTTTCCCCACCACCCACATCCATTATGCCATTCATTTTCAGTTCCCAGTGTTAGAAGTAAGTCTTCATCCTGATTCATCCAAGCCAGGAATAAATAAGCAACATGGCGACTGCTTTGGGAAGATGGATACAGTTTATTGAAGAAGCAGAAAGAGCAGAGTAGAGAAGGGCTGATCACATGGGTAATAGGTTTTTATACCCTCTCTAGCCTTTTGTTTGGAATAATTTCCTGTTTCTGTGGCATGAACTTTGAGGCTATTTCTGAGTGTTTTTCTAGATATCTGTGGTTTAATCCTATTATCATATCCTGCTTCCCTGATGATGGGGCTAATGACTCCTAGAGTTTGGGTGGGGTATGCAGATCTTCTCTTTATCTTCTTGAGTTCCCTGGCTCCAGCCTTCTTGATGGTTTTACATTTGCATTTGTATAGGGCTGGCTCCTGCTTGGGGCAAAGAAATTTGGGGCCAGGTTTGGTTTCTGTTTTTAAAAAAATGCTTTTAAAATTCCTTTTGGTGAAAAATATATTTTCCTGCCCTTTTAATATTTCCTTCTCTGGGGCTCTGACTTCCCTCACCAGTTTCGATAGGCTTACACTTCTAGCTTGCTAAATTGCCTGAGGGAACAATTTCAGCTTGACGTCGTTTACTTAGCAGCTTTTAAAGGAGTTTTCACAATTTCATGGGCGCAAAAAAGTCTTGGTGTCTTGTCTTGATGGGACAGTTCAGGCATCCTTCTATTATAATACAGTAAATACAACACACAATTATATATGTATATATGTTATGCCTATATTATATAAAATTATTTTTATTAGGAATTACTCTTTTGCCTAAAGAAGAGGCATCCAAGAGGGGAGAGCTGTTAGGGGGAAAGTGGGGGGGGGGAGAAATCCTTTCCTGTTCGTTTTAAAATACAAGACGTGGTTTCAAGACGCTCCTTTAGAGTCGCCCTACTCAAGACCCGGGTAAAAATGACAAAAAAAATTATATATGAAGAAATAGGAAAAAAAAAATATGGCCAAGCTACAGCAGATGCCCGTTCGTATAGTGCACGGGTAGACAACCTCGGCTCTTTTATGACTCATGGACTTCAACTCCCAGAATTCCTGAGCCAGCCTGGGAATTCTGAGAGTTGAAGTCCATGAGTCATAAAATGTCTGTATCGTTTGCCTTCATTCCTATCTCTATGGCTGGGCACGCGACTCGGAAGTGACGTCCACCCCTCCCGCCTTCCCAGGCTTGTCCTCCACAGTAAGGTCGCACAGGCGCAGAGAGGCGCGGCCCCGCAGAAAAGCCCGAGAGACACGGGACTGCAAAGATGTCGCGGGGTTCGGGGCTGCAACCCAGAGACCTCCCCGAGGAGGTGATCGGCTACACTCCGGAGGAGAAGCTCCGGCTCAAGCAGCTGCGCGAGCTCCGGCGCCGCTGGCTCAAAGACCAGGAGCTGAGCCCCCGGGAACCTGTCCTTCCCCCGCGGAAGGTCGGCTGGGTGGAAGGTTTCTGGGAGCGCTTCCTTCAGCCCGAGAAGCTGTGGAAGAGACAGGTGAAGCACAAGCGAAAGCAGGAGTGGTGGTGGGGGCCGGTGCCTTCTGGGCACGGTGGTGGCTCTCAGAGGTTGAGGATAGGGGTTGTAGTGCAGCATCTGGCCCCGGCACAGCTTCAGGGAAGGGGCTCTGAAGCAAAGCAAAGGAGGACATCTCGGTTATGCTATTTTTTTTTTTATCGGTTAAGATTGCAACCCTACATTTTCTTGGGATTAAACGTAAAAAAAAGTCCCTGGTCCTCTGGATGCCAGTTCGGACATGCATCTGCTGAGTAGGCGCGTGTATGATTTGTGTGGTTTAATACCCACACGTATACACCTTCTTGACATCTTGCTTAACGATGCTTCTGTGATAATTACTAGTGTCTTTTTAGGATAGCAGTGTTGAATCTATAGGTCACTTGGTCGCATCACTCTCCCAAGGAAGCTAAAATTTTCGAGTTTTTAAAAGCGTGTTAAAGTAAATATGATATATAAGCTCTCCTAATATGTAAATATCCTTAGCAAATCAGATCTTCCTTGGCTTTATTTAGCTTTATTGATTGGGTTGGATTTAGACACTGCCCTATTCCAGATGGGTTCTGAATGGTTCATGATGTAAACAAGATAAAATAAAAATATAGTAAAAAATAGCAAAAAATAGAGATTAAAGAATGAAATACTAAGTGAAATCACAGCCATTAGCTGCATACAGGTAGTCCTTTGACTTACAACCACAATGGAGCCCAAAATTTCTTTGTTAAGTGAGTTTTGCCCTATTTTATGACTTTTCTTGCCACAGTTCTTAAGTGAATCACTGCAGCTGATAAATTAATAACCCAATTGTTAAGTGAATCTAGTTTCCCCATTGATTTTCCTTCTCAGAAGGTCACAAAAGTTGATCACATGTCCCTGGGACACAGCAACAGTCATAACTATGAACCAAGCATCTGAACTTTGATCACATGATCATGGGGATGCTGCAAAGGTCTTAATTGTGGAAAATGGTCATAAGTCACTTTTTTCAGTACCATTGTAACTTTGAATGGTCACTAAATAAACTGTTATAAATTGAGGACTAGTATTCTATAGTCTTCATTGACAGAGATGATTAATCTCATTCAGGTCCCCAGTATTGCCAAAATAACAAAACATCTTTAATACATATGTGATGTGTATGTTCAGAGTAACTCCACTGAAACCCAGGAATATTTTCTAACATACCGTAATTTTTCAGCCTTCTGTTTTTGAAAAACAATGAGAAACTAAATTACAGCTGCCATAGAAACCCTTAGAGTTGTTGAAAAAGATAGGATGCAATTAAAAGGCAGTGTTCCACAAAGGAAGTGAGGCCTGGGTAGTGTATTTCTGTAATATATCTGGGATTTCCTATATTCAGAGAACAAAACAGGCTGTTTTCATAAAGGAATTTGGCAAATATGTGAAAGTTTTTAGTTTGGGGATAAAGTACATTTATATAAAGTCTCTGAGAGATAACCACATACTGCAAGCTACCTTTATCTTTCAGCATGCTGGGAAGAGCTGAGAAGCTTTTCTTCCATTTTGTGTGAATTTTCCTATCTATGTCCAATAAATTGATTTATGAAAATTTATTTGAAATGAATTAGCTTTACGGCTAATTCAGCTATGCATAAAAATATAGTTTAGTGCAGGATAAAATGATAAATAAATGTATAGAGACAAATCTTTCTTACCTTGAGGCTATTTCAGAAGGCAGATTTATTCCTACAAGATTATACCACAGTTTGCTATGTTAAAAATAACATTAAACATAATTTTTAAATTTCAACAAATCCAATGAAATTGTATTGATGTAATCAAGTTTTAAAGAACTAATTTTTAAATTTATTTTTAGGTATTCAATATCTACAACGCTGGAAAATTTACTATAATAAACCTCTTTATTCCTCTCTGGCTTGCCCATTATATTGTCAAGTATCATGTCCAGGTATGTATGTATGTGGGGTGTACATCTTTTTGCTGATTTAATTCCAATAACACATTCTGTTTCTGATATTAGAAAGCTAGACTTAAGAAATGTTAAAGTTCCTCCTCCCCCCAACCCCCAATTCAGAGTGCTGGATAAAATAGAATGCCTTCTATTTTAGCTTCTGAGACACAACAGAGTTTTTTCTGAGGAAGCAGGGATTTAGGATGGCCCTGTTTCCTGATTGGACGAGTGCCTGCCCTTTAAGAATTATTACTGAACTCAGCACTCATGATTTGGTTTGGAATGGTAGAATAGGAAAAAAGAAACACATATTTTTTTACTATTCAGTTAATCTGAGATCCAATGGAAGTATCAAAGGTGATCTCTCTCTTTCTAATCTGATACACACCCACCAAGAAAACGCAACATGCAAAGATCTTTTGATACCATGCTACTACAAAATAATAATTATGAATGCCTCCAGTGTGATCAGAGCTTTGTCTAAATCCTTTTAAGGGGTGAGAGATTCTGGTTAAAGCACATAAAGAACAATGCATTGTGTCAATAACTTTCCTGAGCAGATTGAGCCAATATTAATTGTTTTGTGGGAAATGGTAATGAAGTGTTAGATTTAATAACTGAGCTATTCTTTTAACAGTAATGACTTTAACATTGTTTCTTTTCCTGTTGCTATCAGCATATTGCCTTGGAAGTATTTTCAGTGATACTTCTAATCTTGCATGAGCTGCTTGCTTTAGGTGACATCACAATAATTTAATTGAGTAAGGTCTGGGGTTTGACTCGATCATTTTGGAATGAAAAAATTCCTCTGCAATAGATGTTCTCTTGCGTATTTAGAATCATTGTGCTGCATGGCTCATGTTTGTGTAAGTTTCAACTTATACTCAATAATACTCTGATATTCTTCTCTAGAACTTAGTAGTACAGTCCTGAATCATAAAGTTGAAAGTGACCCAAAAGGTCACCAAATTCAATTCCCTGCACATTGCAGTATTCACTGCCTCATCCCCAATATAGAACTATCCAGCTTTTTAAAAAAAAAACTTCCAGGGAAGGGAAGATACTACTCCATGAGGTAACCGATTGCATTGATTGACAGTTCCTCCTGTCAAGATGTTTTTCTATGTATCTTATCTATATTTATTTATTTATTTATGAGACTTATATACCGCTTTAAGTGCAAGCACTCTCTAAGCGGTGTACACCAGTAAGCAATTTGTATATATATTTACATTGCCCCCAACAATCTGGGTCCTCATTTTACCTACCCCAGAAGGATGGAAGGCTGAGTCAACCTTGAGCCGGTGAGATTATATCCTTGAAGTTTCATCTCATTAATTCTATCCTTATCCACTGGACCAAATAAGAAAAGTCAGAACCCTCTAAAATGTGACAGATATTTGAGATAGTTATCACATCCACTTTCAAACCTCTCTTCTGCTAACCTTATTTATATCTTTTAATCATTCCTCGTAGGAATGATTTGATTTCCACTCCTTTCACCATCTTGGTAACCCTTCTCTGGACTCGCTCCAGTTTATCAATATCTTTTAAACTGAGTTGTGGAGAACTGAATATGATACTCCAGATGAGGCTTAAGGCAGAGTAGAGTGGGATAATTACTTTTGTGTCATCTGATATCTGTTTCTCTTGATGCTCCTCAAGATATTACTGGCTTTTTTTGTGTAGCTGCATTACAGTGCTGGGACATGTTGAGCTTGTGATCCCACCAGTACAGCCAGGTTCTCTTTATATGTGCTGTTCTTAAGCAAGATTTTCCCCATCCTGTATATGTTTCTTTCATTTGTCTCACTTAGATGAATTTTGTTTCTCCCTATTAAATTTTTTGTTTGTTTCCACCATTGTTCCAGCCTAGTTGTTTCCCCTTCTCTCCTCCCAAATGGTAGCCACTTTACCTAATGGATCCTGCCTTGATATCTGCTGCAAATTATCCATCAGTCACTCAATAATCGTGAGCAATTTGGGTCACAGGCCAGAAATCTGCCCAGAGCCATGTTGATTCCACCATCATTTTTCATGGTTGCAATGAAGATATTTTGTTGCAAAGCAGCATTTCAATGAGTTCCCCCACCCCAAATGTAGTGTTTTCCATTAATACCTAGCAGTTCTGCTTTCACCTCATTTGTCAGTATAGCATTGTTCGAACAGCCTGTTAACACTTAGCGGCAACTATGTGCAGATGTTTCTGCAGTGACCTGTGTTTTCCTTTGAAAACTAAAATAGAATTTTAGTGTGATGAGCTCTAATTCTGCAAACATCTGTTTGCCTGTAGACAAGACATATTACCATTTTACAATGCCTTGGGTAAGGCCACACTTGGAGTACTGCATCCAGTTTTGGTCACCACAATGTAAAAAAGATGTTGAGACTCTAGAAAGTGCAGAGAAGAGCAACAAAGATGATTAGGGGACTGGAGGCTAAAACATATAAGGAATGGTTGCTGGAATTGGGTATGTCTCTAGTCTAATGAAGAGACGGATGAGGGGGGACATGATAGCAGTGTTCCAATATCTCAGGGGCTGCCAAAAAGAAGAGGGAGTCAAGCTATTCGCCAAAGCACCTGAAGGCAGGACAAGAAGCAATGGATGAAAATTAACTAAGGAGAAATTTCCTGACAGTTAGAACAATTAATCAGTGGAACAACGTGCCTCCAGAAGCGGTGAATGCTCCAACACTGGAAGTTTTTCAGAAGACACTGGACAGCCATTTGTCTGAAATGGTATAAGGTTTCCTGCCTGAGCAGGGGGCTGGACTAGATGACCTTCAAGGTTCCTTCCAACTTTATTATTATTAAGACCTTCCGATATCTTGTTTCTCTTTTACCAGCACCACTACACCCCCTTCTAATACCGCCATTTGACTGTACCAGTAATATATTTAGTAAGCATCAGTGTAGCTTGAAAAATGGGTTGTTCATTCACTATTAAGAAACAGTGTTATTCACTCATGTGCTGTTATCCAATGATAGAGGTATTTTCCAGAAGCCTAGTAAAAATGAGTGTTCCTCCTATTCATGAAAGTGCCTATGTTCTGGTTTTACTTGGCTGCAGAGGATTTTGCTGAAAAACAAATGTACTGATTCTATACTAGAAGGAATTGAAAATATTACAAGATGGGAAAAGTCTGTTTGATAAATTTCAAAGAGCATTAAAATTGTTGCCTTCTTCATAATCATTATTCCATGGTTTTTGTTTACAGCTTACTCCCCATGGGATTGTTGAAAAACAGCATTCAATATATCCAGTAAGTTGTCTTAATATGCTATGTAACATCTATTTGTGTAAAAAAAAACAAAACCTTAAGATTGTAAAGGAAAATATAAGCTTACTGTATTTCATTTAATTTTTGCCTTCAAATCAGTTTTGACTAATGTGATTACAGTTTTCTTGGCAAGGTTTTTCAGAAGTGGTTTGGCCTTCCTTCCTAGGGCTGAGAGAGGTACTGGCTCAAAGTCAACCAGTTGGCTTCCTGCCTAACATAGGACTTAAACTTGCTCAGCACATTTAATTACTTCCTCAATCAGGAGCATCTGCTAAATTAAAAAAGGATCACAAAAGTATTCCTTGAAAATAGTGGGTATGTTGTTTCATTGCTTAGATGGCTTTAGAATATTCTTTGTAGCAGCCATTTCTGAACTCTGAATACTGAACTTGAGTTACAAATGCAAGTTTGAAGTAGACATTTACTCTTATGAACTGTAAAATGTTTTATTTTTATGGCAATAAAAAACTGGGGCTACCTCCATTTGACCTATACCAATTTGTTGTATAACAAAGATTTCTAAATTAAGAAAAATAACTCTGGTATAAATTATGCATAATACTTACCAAATCTTCATCTGGAAAATAAAAACATTGAGGTACTTAGTGTATGTTTTTCTTAAAATATTTTCACATTCTGATTTTTTTTTCTCCTTCACTTATCAGGGAGACAGGATGGAGGAAAAGGGAATTCCACCATCACAAGGAACTTCAGCAGAAATACCAATCTGTGAGGACTGAGAGACTCAAGGACCTGCAAAATGAAGAAAAAAAAAACAGTTTCCTATATATATGAATATATAATTCAAAATGGATAGTAAGAGACTTAATGATTTTTGGCTATTGTGGGGATATGGGGGAGGCAGCGCTATACTGGATTGGTGTCTTAAGTACAGTCACTAAACATGTATAGATACTGAATCCAACAACAAAGTACTTTATTTTGGTTATTGATAGGCTTTAGAAAACACACAACTTAGAAATATTAAAGATAAATCACAACTTAGAAACATTAAAAGATAAAAACAGAATGGAATAAAGGATCAAGGTGAACATAGTAGCCAACAAAAGTCAAAACTTTCATCATTCAGGTAAATCACTTTGAACCCTGAGCTACTCACACTAAAGCATCCGTGTGGAGACCATCATAAATATATCCAGAACAGATAAATAGGGTTAGTGCTAACTGCTATTACTAAGCTTGGAGAAAATTTAATTTAATTTTAATTAAGTCTAGTAAGAGCCTGTTGACTCCTGATGGCTGTTAAGCAGATTTGACATTGAAAGAGTGCATCAGCTAAAAAATGATTGGGATAAAAAGCCATTAAGGTCTGGGTATTACACCAGAGAGGCAGCAAGGAAACCTCTTCTACAAGAGAAAGTCAGTACTCTGAAGAAATTTTTACCAAAGCGCCCAGCCATTTGCAGAAAGGCAGCTAGCGTAAACAGGCAAATTCAATCAGAAAAGAAAAAACAGTCAAGAAGCCCAAGCATTGAGATAATTTATTAAGGGAAAGTCACTGATACAACACGGTGTGACAAAAAAAAAGAATTAAGTCTGATAAAAATCCTACCAATTCCTCTCAATATCTTCTGTTGTAATTGCAGTTGACAGTAATAATGATAGAATGGCACCACAGAAACGGAACCTTTCAATTAGTTACTAACAGATGATCTTTGTTTTTACATCTGGCATATATGAGTGGCTTGAATGTCAAACTCAAAACTCAAGTTTGAATGTCCTTATTGTGATTCCCCTTTTCCCAAGCACAACAGTTTGGATTATTGTTTACAATTGTTTTTAACTTTTGTTAAGCCCCCTGACCCTCGCAAGTCATATGCAAGTGGGCAGGTATACAAATTAAAATTCTAGATCAAAAATAGAAATCCATTAAATTCATTGAAAGGCCTACTTTCAACATCGGCTCTGGAATACCGGCTATGTATTTATTCAAAAAAAGTCTCCATTCTATAATTTGGGCTGTGTGCTTATGTTTACTGCCATCTCTTTTATTTTTTGTTTTGTTTTCCCCTGCGGTGATGTTTCTTCTTCCTTTTCAAATCATGGTGCTGTCAGAATACTGCACATTTTTGGGTCAGGCGTTTCATCATCCTAGGGTGCCTGGCCTGTATCACTTCTGAAAGCATTAACTTCTGGTGCCTGGGTTTCAGTCTCATTGGGAGAGATGGTAATAATAGAAGACTCAGAGTTGCTTCCGTCTTCACGTGATGGAGCCAGACAGTCATAATTTGCATGCTCGTCATACGCATCTATGTTAAAAGGACATGGAGCAAAGTCGATAAATTCATGTAAGAAGTGTTCTGTACTTTGGAATAAGAAAGGTTGTAATTAGCAAATGCCTGGCTTTCTAGATCAAACTTGATCAAAGTATTCATTATTATACATTGTACAATATTAGCGATACATGAATACCAAACAGAACTGTAAGCTCACGTTTTAACCATGGAACCAGCTTATGAAGGCAGGCAGGATTCCTGTGGAAAAATCCAGTCAATAAGTCGCTATAATGCTCTCCATCTTCAATACTTCTCACACATGTGCCAGAATTAGCTTTTCAAAAGCTAATTATCCCTTGCTCTTGAATGTTCCACATAAATCTCCCCTCCAAACTAGCTTGTCGCCTTGATGCAAGCCGCCTTGATCTGCAACGCTCTGCCTTGTCATCTGAGTTGATGACCTTCGAACAATTTGGGGAAGACATTGTGCTTCAAAAGAAGGAGTCCTTTGGGGATTAACACATGCAGGATGTTCACCCACGCGAGAGACCCTGTGTGGTTATTTTATTGCCTCAAATTTTATTAGCATTATTATTAGCATTTTAAAAGGCAGTATCAGCTCGTCTAGGCCTCTTAAGCTTTGGGTGGCATAAATGTTCAATAAATGATTATCAAACAATTGTACAATTCTACCACTGCCTCGAGGGGAAAAGGTAACCACTTTTTCAATGGAAAAACTATGGAGATGTTTACGAACATTTTCAACAGTAATGCGAAATCCGGGAAAAGATACGGCCATCTGCATTTAAACTCTCAAAAAGCAGACAGGGTATAAAAAATATTAACAGAACTGTTCCGAATCCTCGGAGTCAGAAGATTGACTTGCGTCTCTCGCTCCACTATGCTACATCTAAAAGAGCTGATGGCTGGGCAAGGGTGCCTCTGAGATTATACAAAACACCACTTCTTCATCTGGAAAAAGCAGGGGTTCTCAACCTTGGCAACTTTAAGACTTGTGGACTTCAACTCCCAGAATTCCTCAGCCAGCTTTGGAAGGAGGTAATATTTTTGAAAAAACAACAACAAATCACAGTATGATTGGCCTTTACTTTTTTTTTTTTTTTTACATTTTTTCAATGTCAGTCCAATGCTTGGTGACGTCACGCTTTCTGTCCTTAATAATAAATAGTTAAATCCATACTTGGTTGGGCTAAATCTTATACGATTCCATGACTTCAACTCCCATAAGTCTTAGCGATCACGACGGTATCCCCCAAACCATCTCGGGAGTTATAGTTCAAAAGTTTGTTGCTATTGTAACGTGCACCGGCAAGTCCACATTCTCCGCACTCAAAAGAGGGGGGAAAGCCACATTTCCAATTTTTTCTTACCCATCAGGATTATCAATTTATCAATCGATAAATTTATTTTGTTGCTTGGGGGAGCGGGACACGGTATTTATTTTCCCGCCCCCATTTATTTTGTTGCTTGGGGGAGCGGGACACGGTATCTCCCTACAAAGAAATCCTGGGAGGCCGATTTACGGGCTCAATCCCGTCTCTGCTGCTCAAAAGCAAGGAGAAAGCAAGGCTCTTGTCTGTACTGTCTTAACACATACCTGGGAATCTCCCTTCCCGAAGAGGAGGGAGGGAGGAGGAGGAGGAGGAGGGGGCGGTGGCTTTGGTTCCCTTAACAAAAATGGCTCTCCCGCTTTCCGTTTCCTGCCATTCCGCGAACATCACTTCCTGAGGCTTCCTGAGCGAGGCGAGGGCGGGGCGAGGACGCGAGAAGCGGGGGGAGAATGGCGCTGTTAAACCGCCGATCTCTGGAATGGCTCTACTCGCTGGTAAGGCGTTGCTGCTTTCTTAGTCTCTCCCGCCCCCATTTATTTTGTTGCTTGGGGGAGCGGGACACGGTATCTCCCTACAAAGAAATCCTGGGAGGCCGATTTACGGGCTCAATCCCGTCTCTGCTGCTCAAAAGCAAGGAGCGGTGGGGATCTCTCTCTTTCTCTCTCTCTCCCCTTCCCTCCCTCTCTCCCTCCCCCTCTCCCCCCCCTCCCTCCAGAATATGAGACACTTTTAATAAAGGGATCCACCCATGCGAGAGACCCCGTGTGGGGTTATTTTGTTGCCTCAAATGTTAGACTTTATTTATTAGCATTTATAGCAATCCTTGAATACACTTGCAATTTTAAGAAACATATTAACTTAGCTGGAAGAGAGAAATGTAACCCATAACTTTGCCACTTGTGGGATGTTACTTAGAAACAGTGGTTTTCTATTGTTCAAGTCTTGCATGTAATCGTTGTCTTTTGTTGTTTGATCACTTGACTTACTACATACACAAATGATTGATTTCATTGATACCCTATGAAAGACCTTTGCAACACACCCTTTCCATTAATACATGCTTTTTACTTTGCTTGAATTACTTGGTGATTTGTATTTTCAGGTGGACAAAGAAGCACCTTTGTGTCTCTCAAATTCAGGAAACAGGTTGTTATCAGTTCTACGCCAAGACTTTGCATGGAGGTCTCTAAGTTGTCTAGAAACAATATTACCTTCTATGGCTGGACCATCTCAACCCTTGGCATTTGACCAAGTTTCCAGTTATAATGATCCTGGCATTTCCCATCCCCCTTTTAATCTCAGTAGCTGGTTGTCTATAGGGGAGCTGTATCAAGAATTTACAGATGTGCCAAATCTGGAACTGAGATTGTACGGAATAGATCATTGCCCCACTTTAGGACATGGCTTCTTGCCTTTCTTTGTAACTTTAATCAAAAACTAGGCTTTAGTTAAGTTCAATCAAATACGGGTTTCAATTTAGTCCTTTATAATGTTGTTTCTTCAAGTCATTTTTCATGCCTGGTGACTGCCTGAAGAAGTCGCTGTGCTTTACTTGGCAACCACAAAAAATAGCTTGCCGGTTTCTCCTTCCTTAGAGCTGAGAGAATGACTGGCCCAACATTACTTAACTGGCTTCCTGCCTAAGGCAGTTCTAGCACTCAAGGTCTCTCAGTTTCTTTTGGGTGGGCACATTTTATGTCTGTGCTTATTGGTAAATATCTGCAGGATTTGAAACTTAATCCATATTTTTTTCTGAATCCCTGCTGTCCAGCAGTTGCAATAATTAAAAAAACCTGTCCATTCTTTAAAAGTGAATTGTGAAAAACAGAATTTTTGGGAGAAACTAAATTAAGTTAGATGAGAAGTCTTATGAGCTTTGTTCTAATCTTACCTAAACATCTGAGATAAGCACGAACTTTTTTGGTTTCTTGTTAAACCATGTTTACCTAATATTTTAGCCCTCAATGTTTGGCTTCTGCCTTTGGATTCCTGACAACTGCCTGGAATTCTTGCTGTTTTTTCTGGCAATATTTTAGAGGTAGTTTGCCAATGCTTCCTTCATGGGGCTGAGAGAAAAATGAATGGTCTAAAATCACCCAGCTGGCTCCATGCCTAAGGCAGGACTAGAACTCATAGTCTCCTGGTTTCTACTCTGGTGCCTTAAACACTAGACCAAACTGGTTCCAATTTTGGCTTACTGGGATCTAAATTAGATCATTATGTATTGTAAACTATGTTTTATAACTTAGTAAATTAAATGCATCCAGCCAACTGATTTTTGTTTTTGACAAAAGTGGTTAATATAAAACTTATTTTTGACAATAATCACTATGGTGTTGGGGTGCAGGTATTGGACTAGGATGGGGAGAGTTAAGTTCTGATTTATTCTCAGATATGGAATTTCACTATATATCTTAAGGCCAGCCATACTCTTAACCTAACTGGGATAAAATAGAGACCCTCATGGAAACTTTTGAACTCCTGTGGAAAAGATAGAATGAACATTTAATAAATAGCAACACTACAGTATATAAGCACGGTCTTAGTAAGACACTAATCTCATATGACCCTCTTCAGCCCCTGGGTTCTTGGAGGTAAGCTGCAAATTTAATTTTGGTGGTGGGGATAAAACAAGTATAAAGAGAGGTTTGACATATCAAATGTACATTTATATTAAGAAGGCTATTTTGTTTTCTTTCACAGATTCTTCTTGCTATTGTATTGCTTTCATGGGGCTATGTCATTTACGCAACACGAATAGCAGCCAAATGGCAATTGGAGGAGTCGTATCCCATACAAGGCCAGAATACTTGAGACATCTCCAGAGTGGAATACCACAGAAATACAGAGACATTCTAGAACTCCATAAATCATAATCTGCAAAAACATGAATTCCAAACAAGAGTGGTTGACTCAGGAGTAATACTGAAGCTTCAGAAATACAGATAAAGATAACAAAACAGCTGTGAACATCTGGTACAGTACTATTAACATAATTGAAAAAATATCCTTGAATGTCATTTTTTAAAGAGAATTTTACATTTTCTCCACTTTACTGCTTATTTTAATGTGATTCAGAAGACTACGGCTACAAGGATAACTGCAAGCCCAAAGAGTCATTATTATGGAAAAATAACTAGATACTTTGTGCAAGAAACTGGTTTTCAAGTTAAAAGTTACACTCCTACACTGCTTTCAATGGTACAGAAATAAATACCTGGATATCTGTGGAAGGTTTAGCAAAAATGTACGTAGTATCCAGTGAAAATTTGAAGTTAAAAGATTGTTCAAGCTGTTTAATGCTATTCTGAAGACAAATCCTCATCATACTGGTATGTTTCATAAAATATGTCTACAATGTATTGCCAAAGGCCAAGATTATCTAATTAGGGACATTTTTAAAGGAATATTTAATTTTACTTCATAGTAATTTATATAAATTAAAGTATAACTTTAGTCTATTTTCTTTGGTTCACTACTTTTATTATATCAATTAAAGAATTGTTATTTTAACTGAGTGCTTGGTAGCCAATCTGTAATATTTTGAATTTACTCATTTGTTTAATTTTATCTGCAGTTTCTATAAAGTCCAAAGTCAGCTACTAAATCAGGAATACTAACAGATTTAATAGAAGTGTCAATAATATCTACAATATACCCTGAAGTTGAATAAAAGTTGTCCCCAAACTACAGATCAATTAATCTGTATAATCAGTCAGTTGTATATCAAATATCTGTATGGCAGGGCAACAATTTGACTTTTGGCCAGGGCATTCTGTTTTACAGTCAGCCTTTATTGGGCAGGAAAATTCCAAAACTAATCTAGGTTTATAACCAACATTAAGTTGATCCTAGATTCACATATAACCTGATCTAATGTGGACATAAATTATGATCTACATATCTACTGCTCTTGATGTCAAAATGATGTGAACACATCTCTTGGCGTTCATAGCAGTAGCCAAGGGCACCTGCTTTAAAAAAATCCAAATTTTAGGGGCTAGGCCAGGATGCATCCTGACTCCATTATTGTTCAATTTCTATATTAATCCACTTGGTGCTTTAGATTATCTTCTACAAATTTTGACTGTTTCATGCAGATATCAGGACATTCTAAAACGCCTGTCCTTATTTAGCAATCACAATTGGGACAGACAACTCAGTTGTTAAATGAGGGGTTTGCTAAGTGAAATGGTGACTGCTTAAATTCTTACTTTGGCTTTCCTTTGTTTTACAGACCTGCGAATGTTGTAAATGAGAAGATTGGTTGCACTTTTTCATTGCTATCATAACTGAACGCTTGCTGCACAAGGCAGATGCCAAATGAGAACCACCTGATGAGAACCACCTGTAGATCTACCAGTAGATTTAGGAAGTGGTATATGCTCTTGCTAGCTCCTGTGACATTCTATCATTGCAGATTAATGATACCACTAGCAAAGTAATGCTATTCACTAACAAGCACAAGAGGGTAAATTATTGCATGATCAGAGTTTACTGTAAGTAACCTGACCCAGAATACGTCAGACAGTGATTATTTGATAAGGAAACTGAGGCCGGTTTCATTCTACTGATATTTTAGAAAACCAGGTATTCAGTCATAAGGCTGCCGGAGACCTTAATTTAATTTTAATGCCTCTAGCATTAAAAAAAATGAATCGCAATTCATGACTTAGTAGGAATAGTCACATGAAGTTTTTAGTTGTGGGACCTACATAGAACAGTACTAATTTAATAAAGGCCAACCATGCCCTTGTGATGTCAGTTCTTTTATCTGGATAAATGGTAATGTATCACATCTTCACCCAATGAGATATATTAGCCTATTGATAATTTATGCATATATTACTTTTAACAAATCATTTCTGGCTTTAGCTTTTAAACTGAAATAAGCATATAACAAAAACTAAACCAAATCTGATTAGGGTAAGTTTTCTTACAATCTTTGGGGAAGGTTATATATGGGATTGATCTACACCAGAGCCAAGGTTGCCTACCCCTGATCTACAGTCACTAATTAATAGGCTATATCAACAGAGCAAAGCCCACACCTTTCTATTATGGAAGACGTTACCTAGTCTGATAATGAAACAAACTTAGAAAACACCAAGGACTCAAAGGTCACATTTTAATTTATTTATTTCATAAAACGAGTTATTCCTTAGGCCTTACAGCAAAGTTAAAAACAACAGTTAACAAAAACAAATACTAAAAACATTAAAAACAATACAAACTAAGGCCTTTTCATCCAGCTATGTAAGATAAACAATATGCACAAGGACACCTACCTATTGGTTAAAATACAAAGCAAAAAATTGTAACTCAGAGGAAAGATGAAAGACTTTAGTAATACTTAACATAAACACAAGTAATCCTTGAAAGATGAACATACTGGAGCCTGCCCATTAGGATCATGTCAAAAATGTCGTAAAATGAATTGGGCTCAATTTTATGACAATTTAATTTACTAAAATTGTTATTCTTTATGCCTTACAGCAAAGTTCAAAGCAATAGTAAACAAGTAATTATTAAAAACATTCTTCCTAACTTCTTTCACCGCTTCAGGTGTCGAGGGAGATACAGCGTTCTGGTTCTTACTCTTTTGGTGGCCTCAACTATTGTTAATTAAAAACATTAAAAACTTAAGGCCTTTTCATTGAGCCTACATAAAGTAAACAATATGTATAAGGACATCTAAATATTAAACTACAAAGCAAAAGCTTTTAACAAAGAGAACTAACTTTTCTAGGAATACTTAACAAGGACTATATATTAATTTAAAATGTTTCTCTTAATTTATTGTCTTTTTCCACTCCTCTCATTTTCTCACTGGAGAGACATTCATTATTCTTATGATTGGCAGCACCATCTCTGCACCTGGCAGAGGATGGTGATGCAGATCTACTAGCATCAGTTATCACTAAAGCTATGCAATTGGATAGGTTGCACTTGAATCTTCTTCCCAGTGCTATTCCCACTATATTCCCACTTATCGGCAAAACCATCTCCATTTGACTCGATCCAGGGCACCTTCGGGGGCAACGCCCACGTATTTCATGTCCGTCTTGATGCAATCCATCCACCTTTTCTTGGGTCTGCCACAAGGTTACTGGCCATCAGGATCCAGAGGCATGGCGGTCTTCCCTACGCGAGTCTTTTTTACCATGTACAATATGCCCGTACCATCTAAGTCTTCCTTCCCACATTTTTGCTACGAGATGGAAGACTTAGAGCAGGGATGTCAAACTTGCCACATCACATACTTTTTTCCCCTTGCCGGAGCTGAGGTGAGTGCAGTTTCCGTGTGATGCATCCGGCCCTTGGGCCGGCAGTTTGACACCCCTGACTTAGAGGGTATAGACACATTATATGTGGTGAGGAAGACCTGCTGGTGAGGACAGCTATGTGTGCAGCCATAGGCTGCACTTTATTCATGTCTTTATCATCAGCTGAAATCTCAGAGTCTAAGGACAGCGGAACAAGTTCAGGAGTTCTCTCAGCTAATGGTTTTACATAGTCAACAACACAATTGTCAAAAAATTGTGACAGTCATCATTCACTTCTATGTTTGCTGGTAATGACATCTGCAACCCAATTATGTTTGCAGAACGTTCTTCATCAGAATTTTCAGAAGTATCTAAAGCAGTAGATGCAGAAGCACGAATCTGCTCTAAATTGGAATAAGATGGGCCAGGCGTTTTCATCCTCCTAGGGTGCCTGGCCTGTATCACTTCTGAAAGCATTACGTTCTGGTACTTGGGGTTTCAGTCTCATTGGGAGAGATTGTGATATTCGAAGATTCAGAGTTGCTTCCTTGCTCACGAGATGGAGCCGGATAGTCATAATTTGCATGCCTGTCATCTAGATCTATGTTAAAGGATATCTAGCAAAGTTGATAAATTCATGTAAAAAGCCTTCCTTACTTTGGAATAAGAAAGGTTGTAAATTCATTACCACATGCCTGGCTTTCTAGATCAAACGTAATCAAATTATTATATATAATATTGCACAATATGAATTGGAGAATCATGAATTCCAAACAGGACTGTAAGCTCACGTTTAAACCAGGGAGGCAGCCTCTGAAGGCAGCCAGGATTCCTATGGAAAAAATTAGCCGATATGTCCCTATAACCCCCACTACTGGCATTCCCATCTATGGACCCAATGGAGGATGGTGATGCAGATCTAGATACAGATTTCTTTCTTTTTATCACACCTTGTTATACGAGCGACTATCCCTTCGTAAATAATTTCAATGCCTGGGCTTCTTGACCGTTTTTTCTTCTTTTCTTGTTGAGTTTCAGCTTGAGCTTGCTTGTCTGCAATGTTAGCTGCCTTTCTGCAAATGGCCTGGTGCTTTGGTAAAGATTTCTTCAGAAGCTTTAGACTTTCTCTTGTAGACGAACTTTTTCTCTCTACCTCTCTGGTACAATACTCAAACCTTAATGGATTTTTATCCCAATCATCTTAGATGATGCACTTTTTCAATGTCATCAAATTTTGCTAAACAACCTTACTAAATCTAAATTAAAATTACATTTTCTCCAAGCTTAGTAATAACAGTAACCCCTAACCTGCCTATTTATTAGTTCTGGGTATATTTATGAAGCTTTAGTGTGAATAGCCTCAGGGTTCAAAATGATTTACCTGAATGAAGAAAGTTTAATTTCTTTGGCTGCTATGTTCACTGTAACTCTTTATTCCATTTTGTTTTATTTATCTTTTAATGTTGTTTCTAAATTGTATGTTTTCTAAGGCCTATCAATAACCAAAATAAAATACTTTGTTGTTGGATTCAGTGTCTATACATGATTAGTGACTGCACTTAAGAGACCATCCCAGCATAGCACTGCCTCCCCCATAGCCCCACAGTAGCCAAAAATCATTAAGTCTCTTACTATCCATTTTAAATTATATATTCATTTTTATAGGAAACTATATATTTTTTGTTTTGCAGGTCCTTGAGTCTCTCAATCCCCACAGATTGGTATTTCTGCTGCAGGTCCTTGTGATGGTGGAATTCCTTTTTCCTCCATCGCATCTCCCTGATAAATTGAAAAAAAAAAAAAAAAGAACTATGTAGAAAACATACACTACCTCCATGTTTTTATTTTCCAGAGGAAGATTGGTACTATTTATGCACAATTTATACAAGAGATGTTTTTCTTAACTTAGACATCCTAGGTATATATCAAATTGGTGTAAGTCAAATGGAAGTAGCCCCAATTTTTATTGCCATAAAAATAAAACATTTTACAGGTCATAAAAGTAAATGTATCCTTCAAACTTGCATTTGTTAATGGAGTTCAGTATTCAGAATTCACAAATGGCTACTATAGAGAATATTTTAAAGTCATCTCTAAGTAAACAAGCAACATCCCATTATTTTCAAAGAATATTTTTGGGTTCCTTTTCTAATTTGGTAGATATTCTTGATTGAGAAAGTGGTTAAAGGTGCTGGGCAAGTTTTAGTCCTGTCTTAGGCACAATGGCAGCTGGGTGGCTTTGGGCTAGTACCTCTCTTCTCAGCCTTAGAAAGGCCAAATCACTTCGGAACAACCTTGTCAAAAAACCTGCAGTCATTTTAGTCAAAAATGATTTGAAGGCAAAAGTTAAATGAAATAAAAAAAATTAAGCCTAGTTTTTCCTTAATCTACAACCTTAACTTTTTTGTTTTTTTTTACACAAATAGATATTACAAAGAACATAAACAAAAACAACTTACTGGATAATTTGCAGATTTTCTTTAAACAATCCCACGGGGGAGTAAGCTATAAACAAAAACAGCAGAATAATGATTATGAAGAAAGTAATAATTTGGATGTTCTTTGAAATTTATCAGATAGACTTTTCCCATCTTAGGGATCTTTTCAATTCCTTGTATTATGGAATCAGTAGATTTGACCTCAATGTGTTCTCAGCAAAATTCCCTGCAGCCAAGTAAAACCAGAATATAGCCACTTTCAAATAGGAGGAACTCATTTTTACTAGGCTTCTGGAAAATACCTCTATCATTGGATAACAGCACATGAGTGAATAACACCGTTTCTTAATAGTGAAAGAACAACACATTTCCCAAGTTATATTGGTGCTTACTATATTACTGGTATGTTCAAATTAGAAGGTGTGGTAGTGATGCTGGTAAAACAGAGATGGAAGATATGTGAAGGTCTTGCCTTCAGGCAAAGATGCTTGCAGCCTTGAAGCTCATCACACTAAGATTCTGTTTCACAGTTTTCAAAGGAAGACAGGTCACTGCAAAAAACCACATCTGTACATAGCTGACACTAAGTGTTTTATTGGTGTTAATTTAAAATTTTGTATTTTGCTGCAGAGCTGGGACCAAATCAAACAGGCAGTTAAAATTTTAGAACCTTGGTTCCATTAACAAATTTAATTCAAACCACTTATAAAATGAAATGTATTGTTTTGCAACACATTTAAGCCAAAACTCACTGTTTTTTGTTTGTGTGTGGGGGTTGGTAGTGGGTTGTTCTCAAGCTTTCCGTTTAGCTCCTCAACATTTCATAACCAAACTAGGTAACATCTTCAGCGGGATCTTGGGTGAAGTGTCTTGTTCCATTTCTCTTTCGTTTATATAGATCTTCTGTGGTATTGTGGTCAGTACGTCTTGTGATTGACTGGCTGTGGTGTGAAATTCAGCTGGTGAGGGGGTGGTTGGTCCCGTCGTTGATTGGTTGCTTGAATGGTTCTGTTTCTTATAGGTTCATATGCTGGTTCTAAATCAATGTGTTTATTGATAATCTTGTATTGTAGAGTACCAGGCTTCCATAAATTCCCGTGCATGCTGATTTTTAGCATGGCCAATGATTCTGGCTTTGTCCCAGTTGAAATGGTGGTGTTCATTGTTGATGTGGCTTGAGAGCAGGGACTTCTGGACATGCTGGTTGACTGCCAGCTGGTGTTCATGAATTCTGGTTTGTCTGTCATAGAAAAAGAATATTTTAAAATACTTACAAAAGCAACTATAGCAACTATAATCATCAAGCCAGCACTAATGATCCTCCACGAAACAGCAATGAGAAACAACCACGCCAGCTGCAAAATCCCTGGATCTTGATTGGCCATGTGACGGTGGGGGGGGGGACCATCTGGGAAATTCTGGAACCATCTGGAAATTCTTTTTTGCCAATTTTTATCACTTTTGTTTCTTGTTTTATGGCAAAACAAGTTATTGTTTATGCCTTATGACAAAGTTAAAAACAATAGTAAACAAGTAACAATTATTATTAAACATAACAAACTACAGTAGTGGCCAAAATTGTGGAAACTTTTTGGGAAAAGGTTACAGTAGAAATGCCACCTTTGGTTAGGTTTCCACCCATTTTTCTTCTAATTTCTTTATAACTGTAGCCTTGTTCACTTAATAATTCTATTTTACATCGCTTTCTGGGCAACCAGTCAACTTTTTGCACCATTACTTTAATTTTATTACGTTTTACAAGCTCACTAATGAAAGGAGAAAAAAAACCCCAACCAACCTGATAGCAATCACATAACACACTGACAAATGTCTTCCTCTCAGCTTCAATACATGACATCAATAATTGAATCCTACTGTGATCTGATTGGCTCATTGCCAAAACAAGATGACACTTGATTGGCTCTCAAACCAGTGGTTCTCAACCTTTTTAATGCCGCGACCCCCAACCGATCGTAAGTCGAGGACTACTCAACTGGTGCAGCACCGTTTGCAGAATGGGACTTTTGGCAGGCTCAGCAGGGCAGAGACAGCCTGGACAATTCCTATTGGCTTTTGAAAGCCAATAGAATTAGACTCTATTCAAGAGAGTCTATTCTATTGGCTTTCAAAAGCCAATAGAATAAAAGGAAATAGCACAGCTAAGGAAAAGGGGAAAAAAATGGCGGACTGTGTTGTTTGGCGACCCCCGTGAAATGTCGTTTGACCCCAAATGGGGTCCCGACCCACAGGTTGAGAACCACTGCTCTAAACACTCATGCTCACTGGCTACAATCAGGTGAAGGAAAGCTACCTGATATCAACGTAAGCAAGTTGTGCTTCCTTTTTCTGGTTATTTGGCTATAACTTTTCATAGAATACAGTACAGATAACTGAACAAACTTTGTAGCATTACATTCTTGATTGTCTTTCTATTGATATATAATTTTATGGTACTACTCCCAAAAAAAAGTAGTGTTATTAGCCATCAAACCTCAAAAATACATTTTTCCCAAAAGGTTTCCACAATTTTGGTCACTACTCTATAAAAACTAAGGCCCTTTCCTAACAGAAGATGACGAAGAGGAATTGGTAGCATTTTTATGAGGCTTCATTGTTTATTTTTATCACACCTTGTTGTTTCCCTTCATAAATAATTTCAACACTTGGGCTTGTCTGTTTTTTCTTCTTCGTGAGTTTTCACTTGAGCTTGCTTGTCTGCAATGCTAGTGGTTTTTCCACAAATGGCCTAATGCAGGGGTGGGCAACCTTGGCTCTTTTATGACTCGTGGACTTCAACTCTCAGAATTCATGAGCCAGCCATGAGTCATAAAAGAGCCAAGGTTGCCTACCCCTGGCCTAGTGCTTTGGTAATAAAGTCTTTAGAGCATTGCTTTCTCTTGTAGGTTTCTTTGTTACCTCTCTGAGTGCTCTCCTAGTGATTGCATTTGATATGTCCTTTTCCCACATGACTTTGCAGAATGACCTCTATTAGGATGCCTGGAAGTTCCTGATTTGCTGCTAGATCGATTTCTTGATCTGCTGCTAAATCAGCTTCTTGATCAGCTTTATGTCTTTCATTAGGCCTACTTCCATATCAGCTGTGGGTTATCGGCTATTTATTCAATCAGAAGACTGCTGCATTCTGTAATTTGGCTTGCAGACTGCCTGGAATACTGCGCTCTAGCCTGAACCATACATTTCTCTTTTTTTAAGAATTAAGATATTCAAGGATGTTTTCCTGATTTTTCTCAATTATATGTTCATAGTACTGAGTATCAGATGTTCATAGCTGCTATCTTTATCTGTATTTCTGAAGATTCAACCACTCTAGTTTGGAATTCATGTTTTTGCAGACTATGATTGATGGAGTTCTAGAATGTCTCTGTATTTTTGTGGTATTCCACTCTGGAGATATTTCAAATATTCTGGGCTTGTATGGGATATGACTCCTCCAATTGCCATTTGGCTGCTATTCGTGTCGCATAAATGACATAGCCCCACGAAAGCAATACAATAGCAAGAAGAATCTGTGAAAGAAAACAACAAAATTGCCTTCTTAATATAAATGTACATTTGATATGTCAAACCTCTCTTTATACTTGTTTTATCCCCACCACCAAAATCAAATTTGCAGCTTACCTCCAAGAACCCAGGGGCTGAAGAGGGTCATATGAGATTAGTGTCTTACTAAGACCGTGCTTATATACTGTAGTGTTGCTATTTATTAAATGTTCATTCTGCCTTTTCCACAGGAGTTCAAGAGTTTCCATGAGGGTCTCTATTTTATCCCAGTTAGGTTAAGAGTATGGCTGGCCTTAAGATATATAGTGAAATTCCATATCTGAGAATGAATCAGAATTTGACTCTCCCCATCCTAGTCCAATACCTGTACCCCAACACTACAGTGATTATTGTCAAAAATAAGTTTTATATTAACCACTTTTGTCAAAAAAACCTGTTGGCTGGATCCATTTAATTTGCTAAGTTATAAAGCATAGTTTACAATACATAATGGAGTAATTTAAATCCTAGTAAGCCAAAACTGGAATCAGTTTGAACTAGTGGTTAAAACCAGGAGACTATGAGTTCTAGTCCTGTCTTAGGCATAGAGCCAGCTGGGTGTCACTTTTCTAGCAGGAAGGAAGGAAGGAATGGCAAACTACCTTTAAAATACGAAGGAAGCAATGGCAAACTACCTTTAAAATATTGCTACGAAAACTTGCCAGGAGTCAAAGGCAGAAAAAAAAGTGTTTCCCAGCTAAGTTTATATGTTTCTTAAAACTTGCAAGTGTATTTAAGTAAGGTGACCAACTTTTTTACAATGAGAAGGACACAAATAAATTGAAGAAAAAAATATCGTAAATAAAACATTTTATTCATTGCAACAATACAGAATACACTATATGATAAATGCATAATAAAAAACATTTGTAACAGTAACATTTTATATTGTAATAATGCTTACATGCCTATTAATTATTATTGAAATGAGTACAAAAGGACTGTCCTCCCTAAAGGAGGACGATTGGTCACCTTAATATTTAAGACCTTTCAGAATACACTACTGTGTAGTTGCTGAAATAGCAAGTTCTCACTTACCAGAGAAATGGCCTTGGCTAAGAAGGGAAAAACATATTTTCTTAAGGTTAAAAAAGGGCCTAGAGGGCCGTGCTAATAATACTAATATTGCCTTTTAAAATGCTAATGATAATGCTAGTAAAATTTGAGGCAACAAAATAACCCCACACAGGATCTCTTGCATGGGTGGATCCCTTTATTAAAAGTGTCTACATTCTGGAGGGAGGGGGAGCAAGGGGGAGGGGGAGAGAAAGAGAGATCCCGCACCTCTCCTTGCTTTTGAGCAGCGGAGGCGGGATTGAGCCCGCAAATCGGCCTCCCAGGATTTCTTTGTAGGGAGATATCTATAATGGAGTGGTGGGGGGGGGGGGAGACTAAGAAAGCAGCAGCGCCTTACCAGCGAGTAGAGCCATTCCAGAGACCGGCGGCTTAGCGGCGCCATTCCACCCCCCAGCTTCTCCTGTTGGCGCCCAGCCCTCGCCTCGCTCAGGAAGCCTCGGGAAGTGATGTTCGCGGAGCGGCAGGAAACGGAAGGCGGGAGAGTCAAAAGGGAGCCGAAGCCGCCCTCCCCCTCCTCTTTCCCTACCCTTCAGGGAGATTGCCAGGTGTCCCCTGAAACTAGATGGAGGCGAGGTCTCTTCGATTCCTCGCAACTGCAGGGACAAATGTTCGCCGTCGGTCTCCAGCAAAAATATGTCGCCCTTCGTTGCTTTGATTCCTTCCTCCCGATTTAATCCCCCACCTTGCCAGGAACATCAAGGTTTTTAAGCAAGCCGGATGCTCCGCAATTTACTTGTGTGTGTAGAATAGGTATGTAGTGGCTACCACTACATTACAAAGGTGGAAATCTGCTAGCCTGAGAGAAATCTAGGGTGAACCTCTTCCAAATAAGTCTTTGCCGTTCTCAGTGGGACTTCTACCCATCCCCGCTCCCACAACTCTCCCCCCCAAAGCATCTACCGTACGGACAAAAACTCCCTTAGGAAAACAGAAAGCAACAGAAATTTCCAAATTTCATCACAGAGAAGAACCTCTTCTCTCAGTTCCCATCTGGTTGGTTATCATTCCCACCTTTCCTTCTTTTTTGTTTTCTTTTACGATCTTTTCTGGCTTAGATGTATTTTTAACATTTTGTAAACCGCCCAGTTGCTGAGCATCGGATATAAATTTCATAATAAATAGGAAGCGTAAATAGGACAGCGGTAACGTCTGTACTGAATTCCAACGTTGAACCGAGTTTTTACTCGTGAGTAAATATGTGTTAAGACAGTGCAGACAAGAGCCTTGCTTTCTCCTTGGGCTGTCCGCATCGACTGACAAATTGACAATCATGATGGGTAAGAAAAGATTGGAGATGTGGCTTTCCCCCCCCCCCCTTTTGAATGCGGAGAATGTGGACCTGCCGGTGCACCCGCTCTGCACGTTACAATAGCAACAAACTTTTGAACTATAACTCCCGGGATGCTTTGGGGAATACCGTCGTGATCGCTGAGGTTTATGGGAGTTGAAGTCATGGAGCCGTGTAAGATTTAGCCCAACAGTATGGATTTAATTTTATTTATTGTTAAGGAAAGAAAGAAAGAAAGCGTGACGCCATCAAGCTTTAGGCTGACATTGGAAAAAGGTAAAAAAATAATAAAGCCCAACCGTGCTGTGTTTTTTTTTTTTAAATTACCCCATTTCCCTTCTAACTCGGAAGTTAACTCCTCCCCTGCCTGCCATTGGGGTTGTGCATCCGGTTTGGAAAGGCTAGAGCTGCAAACCAAAGCAGCAGCCTTCTCCTCAGCTGTCTTCGGTTGTGCCACCGTCCATGTGTGACCCCCGAGAGCGACGTAGCCGAGCCGCCGGCGCCAGTGGCCGCAACTGCTGCTGGTACCAACGGTCTAAATCGGTAAGTAAGTGGGTTCTTTGGGAGGAGAGCGCCCGGCAAAACTCCGGATCTTCCGGGCACTTTTCCCCATTAGTTTTCCCGAGGAGGGGAGAGAGCCGAGCGGGGTTCCTTCGCCTCTGCTCCTGCCTAAGAGGCTCTTTTTGCCCCCGGTGCTCGTTTTAACGGTCTCAGCCACGGAGCGTTCGGCTCTCCCCCCTCCCCGCCCCCCTCCGTAGGTAATCGGAAATCGAACTCTTGCGTCCCTTCGCGGTCGCTGATTGGCTGCCGGGATGGGCATATAGCTTCGCCGCCTCTCCGGATCTTCAGTTGGTCTTCGTCCAGGCGTAGAAGCGGCCGTTTGAATAATCTCAGAGGCGCTGTTGCTTCTAGGCTTGCCCAGCCAACGGCTCTTTGAGATATCGCATAGTGGAGGGAGAGACGCAAGTCAATCATCTTCTGACTCCGAGGATTCGGGAAATTTTATACCTGCTTTTCGAGAGTTTAAACGCAGATGGCCATATCCTTTCCCGGATTTCGCACTGCTGTTGAAAATACTTGTAAACATTTCCGTAGCTTCTCCGTTGAAAAAATAGTAGTTGCCTTTTCCCTGGGGCAGTGGTAGAATTGTAGAATTGTTTGATAATGATCATTTACTGAACTTGTACCTTAGCCAAAGCTCAAAGACTTTGGGCAGCTTACAGGGGTCACACAAATTTCAATGAAGTCAGTAAAACATAAGTAAGAAGGGTGAACAAAAGGTCTTCGTGGTTTTTCTAAATAACATGAGTGGGGCCATCTGATGTAAGGAATGGAGAATATATCTGAATGAGGAAAGAAGTAATTTCCCTGTAGGAGACAGATTAAATCTGATAAATTGGTGATCTTTATGTTGTAATTTTCAGTACAAACAAACATGCCAAGTTTACACTGATTATTGTATTTCTTTTCCATTTTCAGAGCTTGATACCCCTGGCAAATTTTTTCCCAAAGGACAATTCACTCATACCTGGCAAAAACAGGCTGCATCAGACAATGCCAGAGGAAATATCTCCAGATTCTAAGTGCCCAATCTGCCTGGACTTGTTTGAAAATGTGGCTTATTTGGATCGTTGTTGGCACAGATTCTGCTTCCGGTGTGTGTTGGAGTGGTCCAAAAACAAAGCAGAATGCCCACTTTGTAAACAGCCCTTTCGTTCCATTGTGCACAGCATGCGATCTGCAGACGACTACAAAGTGCATTCTGTTAGGCCTTCAGAAATGGAAACTTTTGCTAATCCTAATGGGAGGCGATTCCGTTACCCGACCACCTTAACAGGAGAACATCCTGCACGTGTTAATCCCCAAAGGACTTCCTCCTCTCGAAGGACAATGTCTTCCCCAAATTGTGGGATCTTGTTCGAAGGGTTATCAACTCAGACAACAAGGCAGAGAGATGCAGAAATGCATCAGATGATCAGACGGCTTCAATCAAGGCGACAAGCTAGTTTGGAGGGTAGATTTATGCGACACATTCAAGAGCAAGAGATGATTAGCTTTCGAAAAGGTCTGTATCGTTCTGGCACACGTGTGAGAAGTATTGAAGATGGAGGGCGTTATCGTGACATATCGGCTGAATTTTTTCGCAGGAATCCTGCCTGCCTTCATAGGCTGGTTCCATGGTTAAAACGTGAACTTACCGTTCTTTTTGGGATTCACGGATCCCTAATTAATATCGTACAACGTATAATAATGAATAATTTGGTCAAGTTTGATTTAGAAAGCCAAGCATTTTCTAATGAGTTACAGCCTTTTTTACTCCAAAGCACAGAACACTTCTTACACGAATTTGTCAACTTTGCTCGATGCCCTTTCAACATAGATGCATATGATGAGCATGCAAATTATGACTGCCCGGCTCCATCACGTGAAGACGGAAGCAACTCTGAGTCTTCCATTATTACCATCTCTCCTGATGAGACTGAGACCCAGGCAGTAGAAGTTGATGCTTTCAGAAGTGATACGGGCCAGGCACCCTGGGATGACGAAACGCCTGGCCCGTCTTATTCAAACTTAGAGCAGATTCGTGCTTCTGCAGCTACTGCTCTAGACTCTTCTGAAAGCTCTGATGAAGACCCTTCTGAAAATATAACTGGGTTGCAGGTGTCAGAACAAGCAAATGTAGAGGTGAATGGCGACAGCTGTGATTCTTCGGACAACTGTGTTATTGTTGACTATGTCAAGCCCTTAGCGGAAAGAACGCCTGAGCTTGTTCAGCTGTCCTCGGATTCTGACATCTCAGCTGATGATGGGGAAAAAGAAGACACGAATAAAGTGCAACCTACGCAATTGCGCAGTTTTAGCGATAGTGACGGTAGTAGATCTGCATCACCCTCCTCTGCTGGGTCCAGAGACAGTACTGCCAATCTGAAGATTAATGACTGTCTCTCCGATGAAAAAAGGAAATCTAAGAGGAGTGAAAAAGATGAAAATAAATTAAGAGAAGCGTCTTCATTACAAAGCTTTTCTCCAAAGGAAGCCTGTTGTGGATATAATGCATTGAAAAGAAGGAAATCTGAGTCGCATATGCAGCACTCTGACAGAGAGCATCACAGTTCGAAAAGGAAGAGGAAGCATCGCAGCAGGGAAAAACGAAAAAAGAAGAGAGATGGCAGTAGACATAAGCACAAAAAGAATAAAAAGAGATCAACCCGAGAAAAGAGTACATCCCGTTCTCTTTCTCCAAGTAGTGAAAGCACTGAATCTAGAGATTTAAGCAGGTCACAATCTCGAAGCAGAGAGTATAGTGGAATTTCCAGGAGTAAAGACACTGATTATTATTTGAGAGACGATTACCCAAAAAACAGAAAAAGAGGTGAATATGCTTTATACAGTCCAAATGCTATCAGAGGTTATGAAAGACTTCGATCAAGAAACCGGTCAAGAAGCCGATTTAGCAGCAGATCCAGAAGTCGATCCAGCAGCAGATCCAGAAGTCGATCCAGCAGCAGATCCAGAACTTCCAGGCATCCAGATAGAGGCCATTCTGAAAAGCCAGGTGGGAAAAGGAAATATAAAACACGTCACTTGGAGAGCACCCAGAGGGGTAGTGAGGAAACCTCTTCTGTAAGAGAAAGCAATTCTCTAAAGAAATCCTTACCAAAGGACCAGACCATTTGTGGAAAAGCGGTTAGTGTCGCAGACCGGCAACCTCAAACAGAGACTCAACATAAGAAGAAGCGGTCAAGAAGCCCAAGTGTTGAAATCATTTATGAAGGTGTGTGTACATCAAGATACGACGAAAAGAAAACAAAAAGAATTAAGTCTACCAATCCTATCAATTCCTCTCCACTATCTTCTGTTGTAATTACAATTGACAGTGATAGTGATAGAGAGAATGGCATTACAGACCCTGAATTTTTCAACCAGTTGCCAACTAAGAGATCATCTTTGTTTTTACGTCTGGCACAAATGATAAATGGCAATTCACACTGCCAGCTACATTCACCAGAGCAGGATGTGTAATTTTTTAAACTTTTTTTTTTTTTAAATAAGATTTTTCATCTTAGATAGGTTAGGCCATAGATGTAGATTTTTTTTTTAGCTTTTAATGTTTTTAATAATTATTTACTATTGTTTTTAACTTAAAGGCAAAAAGAGTAACTTGTTTTATGAAATAAATTTTATTAAATAAATAAACTGTGACCTTGGAGTCCTTTGTGCTTTCTGAGTTTGGTTTTTCAATTGTTTTATTACCTGACTAGGTAACATCTTCAATGCTAGAAAGATATGGGCTTCACTCTCTGTCTATC